CTATCGCTCCCTCAGCCCTACCCACCTTACTCTATACTCTTCCTTATTGATACCACACACATTTTAAATTAGCTCTTCTAAGAAAAAATTCATAATTCTTTTTTTTATTCCTCTGCAATTTTGATCATGGAATGTGCTTTAGCGTCAGAAAGCTAAAATTATTTTTAATTTTTTTTAAACTGATAAAATAAACCTTCAGTCAGAAAAGGGTTGATGACCTATCCTCCCAACACCCCCTCGCCTTAAAGGCCATAAATCTAAACTTTACAGGATCTTACCTCTGTCAATGCTTGCTATTGTTTACAACAGCAACAACCACCCCCCTACCCCCCCCCATAAAAAAAAAACACCAGCGGTTCTCAAAGTCTGACCCTCTCAGCTACCAAAGTACCAGCTGCCTAGGTAATGTGGGGGACACGAGTTTCAAAACTTTGAGGGACACTGAGAGGGGGAGACCTCCCCATTCGCTCGTTCATCATTGACTAGGTTAGAAGTCAGCCTAGAGACAAACACCGTCATTAAGAATAAGTCTGTTTTTGTTGCGATCCAAAATACTATTTTTTTTTAAATACGTTGTGGCTGTTATAAGATTTAGAAGAAGGTACACAGTACACTCCCCTGTGTTGCGGCTTTAATACCGCCAATGGGGGTGGGAGTGTAGAAGTGGGAGGAGGGGAAAGACACCTCATGGAATAACCAACTGGATTGTCTCAACAAAGGGGCAATAAATTAAGCCTGCATGTTAGCCTGTATCATAAATGGCATACCCATTGGCAGTTCGTAGTGTTGCACAGAACCCCCCCCCCCCCTCCACACACAGTATCCAACAAAACTAGTAAACAAAATTTTACTGGAACCGTTGGCCTATCAAAAATAATTTATTGGTTGCATATTTTAAGTTTGATATTTTATATGAAATACTACGTTTGGCTAATAATTTATAAAATATATATATAACTCGAGGCGGGTCAGGTTAGTGGTATGGATGTTTAGACCCACCACCCTGCTAGGTCCTCTTTTGCCAATGTGTATGTTAATAATTAATTCTTCAACATCTTCCCCGCCCCCCCCCCCCCCCACACACACTCTGAAAGTCATTATACGCTTCCAGCGTCTAATTATTCGATATAGCCGCCTTTTACTCACACTTAAGGCGCAGTGAGACGCTTATGTGTATATGTGTGTGTGTGTGTGTGTCCGTGTGTATGTGTGTGTTTGTGTGTGTCCGTGTGTTTGTGTGTCCGCATGTATATGTGTGTCCGTGTGTTTCTGTTCATGTTTGAGTCCGTGGGTTTGTGTATGTGTCCGTGTGTATATGTGTGTCCGTGTGTTTGTGTTTATGTTTGAGTCCGTGAGTTTGTGTGTCTGTCCGTGTGTATGTCTGTGTCCCCGTGTGTTTGTGTGTGTCCGTGTGAACGTGTGTGTCAGTGTGTATATTTGTACTTGTGTGTCCATGTGTATATGTATGTGTGTGTGTGTGTCCCTGTACATATGTGTATTTTTGTATATGTGTGTGGCCGTGTGTGTGTCTGTTTCATACATTTTTCTCATTAAACAGAATATTAAACCCCTCTCCTTCCAATTCATAGCTTCACGTTGATGAGTCACACTTATTACCTTAAAGTTCCTGATGTTATGTTTTTCAATCGATTTCAGCACACGACCGTCTAACACTAACCGCCATGATAACTCATCTTCTCCTTACAATCACTGTAAGCATACTATGCTTCACGTATGCTGAAGGTTAGTATTTCATATTTTATATTTAAAATGCAAGAATAAGAAGAAAGAACCATTATTTCTGCGTTGTGTTTTGTCAGAAAAGTAATTTATTGTGAGCTCTGCTTTGAAAAAACAAAGCACGGTAAATAAAAATTTTTATTAAAAAACTACACTGTGATGAAACGAATGTACATGCTGTTGATAGGTGACCTACATTTACGTTGCTGTCTATTGCTTTCTTCCCAGCAATGTTATCTAATTACATTTTACCTGTGCAATGCAGGCAGATGTGTACTTTAATAAACAATAAGAGATTTACTTTAAGTTTAATCATAACGACGGCTTCACAAGCTAGCAGATTATCGCAGCTGATTGACGTAAGTTAGCACATACTCATATGAAGCAAACGTCAGTGGTGTAGCAACTGGGTGTTGGGGGCAGTTAACCTCCATTCCCCCCACCCCCCCCCCCCTCCATGGACCCCCCACACCGAAAGTTGTCTAAATTAGCGAAAATAAATTATTGAAGCTTCATTTCAATAAAAAGATAATTTTTACGATCTTAAAATTGTTTATTAAATTACACACACACACACACACATATATATATATATATATATATATATATATATATATATATATATATATATATTATATATATATATATATATATATATATATATATATATATATATATATATATATATATATATATATATATATATATATATATATATATATATATATATATATATATATATATATATATATATATAATATGCTGCCTACGCCATTGGCGGCGTTCACAGTTGACAGACGTATACATCTAGCTGACATATATGTATATCAGACGTAAATCCCCCATAGCTATAGACAGAGAACTGCAGCCATGATGTGTTCTGTCTGAGACACGATCGAACGCTCGTGATTAAGTTATGCAGACAGGGCCAGCTACCTATAAGGCGAACTAGGCGGTCGCCTAATATGATAATACGGGGGCACGAAAAAAATTGCGGGGGGGGGGGGGGGGGCGCTTTTAATAAGTTTTGCCTAGGGCGCTAAATAACCTGGCGCCGGCACTGTATGCAGGTCATGACCCTTTGGCTGAATCAGAGTTGTCAGACAGCTGACCTTTCAATGGAAAAAAAATTGTAGGCTACCGTCTTGCTTATTGTCAATAATACAATATTTTTTAATGTAATAAATAAGACATTTTGGTTCTTCGGGAAAATGCTACATGTATAACTAATCAAATTACTTATGTTACTTATGTTTCATAATAAAGTATTAAATTTAAAATACCACTGTACTATGCATGTAGAATTTATATTTTCATTTCAAGTGCGAATTATGCCGCTGCGTAATTCAAATCAGACATGTGGTTTTAAAAATAGTGTTACATTTTTATTATCACATTTTTATGATGTTTACCACCATTATTCTATTATTCCCAGGGATATTGAATTGCGCACGGAGTAATCTCTCTTATCACTGTTTTATATCTGTGTTCCGTCCTGGTGTATAGTGGAACATGTCTAGCACACATTATCTGACTCAAGTGTAGTACACAGAAAACTGACATGTGTGTAGTACATAGTAAACTGACACATGTGTAGCACACATTACCTGACACATGTGTAGGACACATTAGCTGACACATGTGTAATACTCAGTAAACTGACACATATGTAACACACAATTACCATACACATGTGTAGAGTAGCACACATAATCTGAAACATGTGTAGAACACAATTAGCTGACACACGTGTAGCACACAATTAGCTGAGATGTGTGTAGCACACATTATCTGACACATGTGTAGAACACAATAAACTACCACACGATGTACAATATAAGCCTCAAAAAGCCCCACGTCAAGTAAAACCAGAGCACTCTTAAATTAGCGAATACCACATATGGGACTGTTACATAAAGAATATCACAAGGGGCTGTCAAGGTGATATCATAATATATGAGACTGTGATATGGAGAATAGCGTTTATCATATCGAATTGTTAGCCGAAAGATTAGCGCATATGAGACATTGTTTACTGGAGTGGTTTCCTTACCATTCCCTTGTTTACTTGAGTGATTTCCTTACCATTCCCTTGTTTACTTGAGTGGTTTCCTTACCATTCCCTTGTTTACTTGAGTGATTTCCTTACCATTCCCTTGTTTACTTGAGTAGTTTTCTTAACATGCCATTGTTACTTTGAGCAGGTAGTTTGCTAACTATTTCTTTGTATCTTTGAGCAGTTAGTTTGCTAACTATTCCCTTGTGTCTTTGATCAGGTAGTTTACTATTCCCTTGTGTCTTTGATCAGGTAGTTTACTAACTATTCCCTTGTGTCTTTGAGCAGATAGTTTGCTAACTATTCCTTTGTATCTTTGAGCAGGCAGTTTGCTAACTATTCTTTTGTTTATTTGAGCAGGTAGTTACCTTAAAATTCCCTTGTATCTTTGAGCAGGCAGTTACCTTAAAATTCCCTTGTATCTTTGAGCAGGCAGTTTGCTAACTATTCTTTTGTTTATTTGAGCAGGTAGTTACCTTAAAATTCCCTTGTATCTTTGAGCAGGCAGTTACCTTAAAATTCCCTTGTATCTTTGAGCAGGCAGTTTGCTAACTATTCTTTTGTTTATTTGAGCAGGAAGTTTGCGTAAAAGAAACACAGTTGCCGGCGACTGCCCACCCCAGCCCGAGACTGTCACTCTCGAGATAGCAGTCGACAGGGCCGGCAATGGCCTTCTGCCGTGTTCGTTGTCCGAACACCCGGTGGACAATGCCGTCATTCTCTTCAGCTGGCACGTCGAGGGCAGCACAGACATCTGGCATAAGGAGATTAAGTCGCCGGAAAAATCCGGCTCTCTGCCTTTCAATGAAATAGTCACCAGCTTGTTAAATAAAAAGGTAGGTTTAATGTATTTATTTTTTACTATGACAAAACCTACCAAGGTGGAATTGGATCAAATAGCCGGCAAAATCCGGCTCAATGCATTTCGATGAATAGTCATCAGGCAGTTTAATGTCTTTATTTATTACAATGACGAAACCTACCTAAAGTGGAATTGGATCAAATAGCCGGAAAAATCCGGCTCAATGCCTTTCAATGACTAGTCACTAGTTAGGATTAATGTATTTATTTTTTTACAATGACAAAACCTACTTTAGGTGGAGTGGGATGTCGTGGTCAGAAGGTAGAGCGCAAGAATACAAGCCAGAGAGTTTGTATCCCGTGTTGAATATTTAAGACGCCCCAGAGTCCACTCAGCTCTAACGGGTACCTGGTTCACGTTAAATGAAAGAAAAGATGGCTGGGAATAGAACTTGAGTCCACCCAGCTCTAATGGGTACCTGACTCGCGTTAGGGAAAGTAAATGCGGCTGGACATAATGCTGACAACACTACCCCTTCATATGTCGAGGTCGATGAAACAGGTGAACCGCAGCTACCCCAAGTCCAAAGGGTACTTTTGAACGAGCTATTCTGTAGTGTCGGATCTTTTACTAATACATACAAAAAGAAAAAAAAACCTCTCCAATGACATAAGTCAAATTTTGGTCAAAGATTCAAGAAACAACGAGTATTTTATAACTAATCGCGTGGTACTTTATTTTTTAAAACATAAACTCAAACTTTTGTTTTAAAGTAAAAAATAAATAAATGGGTATTGCGTTCTATTATATATGCAATGGTATGTAAAAGTCATTAATGTCTCCTTTTTTTATTGGCTTAAGCTGATAACATTTTCACTTTGGTCAAATAATATATGAATATAGATATTTAACTTCTATTCATGTTTTATTTTTCTCTAATAAAAATATTTTGTGAATTATTATATCACTGGTGTACTACCCCTTTAACATGGAGATCAACGTATCATTAGCTGTAATAAAATATCGATCTGTTTCAGATTTCTTGTACAGCTCAGCTCAAGTTCGACAAACTGGGGGCAGAGTGGTGTGAAAAAGTGGAAAGCAACACAGTGACACCTAACATAATCGTGAGAACACTGATATTATTTTGTTGATTTATTCGGTTTATGAAAAATTATAGTTTTAGTTAAGTGTCCAGTGGACATTTTGCTACGAGGGGGGGGGGGGGTGGTATTTATAAGAATCAGTGTTTCTTCCAGACTTTTTTCTCCGGGGGGGGGGGGGGGGCGATGGAGTTTGTTTTTTTTTGGGGGGGGGGAGGGGGGAGGCGGACAATTTAAAAGTATGTATTTTCTATATACATTCCATTGCGTTCGAGGGGGAACGGAGAGATGCCTGGAAGAAAATCTGATAAGGATATTTAATGATAACGTATATTTCCTATATAACTTTAATGTTTTCGTCTTGGCACGAAGGGGTCGGAAGGGGGTGGTGGTAGATGTACATTGTTGGTAACCATTGCTACGTATCTGTGACGGTACGATTTTACGCATATGGACTTTGGGGTGTGATTGAGACTATTTTGTGTTGTATTTTCTAAGGATACAATTTAAAAAGTAAAACTGGACGTGTTAGTTTATGTTAGGATTATTTGAATGTATGAGACAAATGTTGTTAGGGGGTGGGTAGGTCGGGAAGTTATTGACTTAAGTTTAAGATAAGGATGGATCAGAGATAATCAGGCCTTAAGTGATGCTTGACGTTTTATTCCCAATAAGACGCTGATACTGGGTAGATATAAAATTCACTGTATGCTATTGCTATATAGGCCTATTTAATTTCGAATAGACCAAAAATAGTTTATTAAATAAGTAGGCTACTCGTCTTAAGTAAAAACTGCATGTTCAATTTTTCTTTAATTTAATTAATTCATTGTTTATTTTCCAGTGTCCAGCACAAACCCAGTTAACCGTGGTAGAAGGTCTGGGCCCTGAGAACCTAGTGGTCAAGCTGTCAGCTCCCCCCTCCATGTACTGTATTGGTACAGACAAGAATCAGTGTGAGGTCGAGGTTGTGACAGAGATTGTCCCAAACGATAATGACCTCAAGTTAGTATTTTATTCAACTGTTTGTCTTGTAAAGGGATGTAACCAAATAGTATTCGTTGTCGTTAATTAAGCATCAGTTGTCGTTATTTGATTATGGAAGCTTCGAGCACTTGTACTTGTAAGAAGCGTTGATTTATTTTCGTTATAATTTTCCAAAAAAAAAGTCATAGATCTAGATCTAAATGAAAGCTACCTCTTCTGTCTATATATTTACATAATAACGTCCCCGCGACATAATATCATCATCATAATTACCAATTTTACTTTATCAATAGAATCTAGATCTAGATTATTATTACTGTTAACTGTTAACTGGTCATCAACTTATTTAAAGTTGCATTTTTGAACAATTATCTTACTATTAAACTGAGATGTTAATAAATATTTATGCTACTACTAGTCTAGATCTACTAAGTTTAATTAACGTTCATTAGGGCATATCAGATTTCATTTAAATGTTAACAGTTGACGTAAAATACATTAGCCTAATTGTTATTTCTTATTGAATTTAGAGTTTTAAAATTTAGTATTACCACAAATTGGCGCCCCCAAAAACTGTCATTATACAAACAACTAGATCTAGAATCTAGATCTAGAATCTAGATCTAAATCTGGGTGTGGGGAAATTGCGAGACGCGAAAAGCGAAATGGCGAGGCGGGAAAATGCGAGAATGTAATGCGAGACATACCTGCGGAATTAAGGGTAAATAGCGAGACACTTTTTGCGAAAAAGTTTGTTTTTTTTTCCATCTTTATTTATTTAAATTATTTTTTTTTGTTTTAAAATAAACAAGCATTTAGCCATACCCTTTAACACGAGTGTTGTATGTTGTTATTTTTTATCTAGATACTAAGAAGAAAGATAGATCTAGATCTTATCTATTTAAAAATCCTAACATCGTTGCTGTGCTACTGTCATCGCCCGCTCTTGTTAGCGAGATGAAAATCCCGTCTCAGTCGGCATTAATTTAAAAATCTAGCCCGCTAATGTTTATACAAACGTGAGCTGTGTCATTGTGAATTGGTATAATCTTGTCAGCAGGAGAGATATTTTGCAACATCTATTTATGGATTTTTGTACTTGCAAAAAGTGTAATATAGTTGACATAGAATAGTTGACCTCCTCGTTCATCCCACACACAACACAGGCAACCATGTTCTCATCATCATCATCCGCACGCACAACATCTGTTTTCTGTTTTTTATAATTTGTATTTTTTATCATTTCTGTAATTTTGGCAATGTCTTGCTCATTGTTGTCACCAGCCGGATCAACGTCAGCGGGGCGTGGACGTTTACGCCCTGAAGTTTTATCCTGTCGCTTCCTTACAGCTTTTCTTAGTTGTGTTAGATTTATTGATTTCTTGTTGCTAACTGTTAATAATCCAACTGCCTGTCTGGCCGCCACGATGTGATAGCAGTTACCAACGGCCGGACAGGAGTATGTTTCCCTTGGAAAAAGGGTGACCACCCTGGGGTCTGTTGACCCTTGAATGGTGAATACGCTAAGTTTAGTATTTAAACTGATCAGTTCATTGTCAATCACGAATTGTGCCCTTTCGGCAACAGTGGAGCAAACAGGCAAACAGTCCTTCCCTAAGGGTGCAGTAACTAAAACTGCTTCTTTTTTTTTTAAACATCGATATTTTCCCAAAATCTTGTCTAATTTCGGTCAAAATAGAGTATTTTAATCAATTCCTATTACAATGTATTAAAACAGTTTTCTAAAACGCGAAAAAACGTCTAAAATTCTTTTTCTAACATTGCATTTTTATAGTGTGACTTCATATCTACCCCCCCCTCCTCCCCCTCATCACACATCGTCATAAAATTACAGACCCCCCCTACGAGTGTGACGTCATTTATGGAAGACCCCAAATAACACCACCACCAAAACCTAAAAATTCAGATAAGTTCAACTTGGTTTTAAAAATATTTGAAGTAGGCCCATAGCTTACGATATAGCACGAGCAACTGATAATATCGGTGACGTCACTTTATTTTTTCCCCAAACAGTAAGTAAGAGAAAAAAAACTGGGGGCATTGAGAGTTCATAAAAGATTAGGAATAAGCAACACATAAGGGAGGGTTAATTAGGTCCTCACCTTCACATAGGGCAGTAATCTCATACTTAATTTGATGTTATTTTTTCTGACTTATTTATGGAAATAATAAATAATAAATTATATATATATATATATATATATATATATATATATATATATATATATATATATATATACAATTAATAAATAAATAATAATATAACATTTATGGGAAAATTCGGAAAAGTCACAACCGTGATATAAAATGTAATATAAATTAGTGTAAAGGAACATTGGAAGAGAAAACACACAGTAAGTAGTTCTTACCTCCAGAATAGTTGTATCCAAATGATGTAGGCATTTCCTTGTGCTTAGATTTATATGGTAAAAAAGCTAGAAAAAAATCGTAGGCGGCGGCTATAATACAAAATTTCTAAGCAACAATAGAAAATATGTTTGCTGCGGCAGCGGATCCGGGCACGGCGATCTTCAAAGACGGTAAATCAGGCGGCCTCGGCGTTCCACACAAAAGACAGAAGTTGATCTATCGTCGGCGGTATTTCCGTCGGTTTCGAAGAAGGTGGTATTCTAAGTCCACTGAAAATCGGGTGCGGTAAATTTTTCGCAGAAATCTTCGCATTTCAACACCACCCAGCGTAAGTATCGGCTTGTGGTAAAATGCGAGACAAAAAAGTCACGTGACCGACCATTTTCGCGCCCTTCTCGCATTTTCCCGCATCGCCATTTCGCTTTTCGCGTCTCGCAATCTCCCCACACCCTCTAAATCTAGATTTCTAGATCTAGAATCGACCATCATTCAACCACCATTAGAATCTAGATCTAGATATCTAGATTTAGATCTACTTGCGTAATGACTACAAGCATGTTGATCATGAGTTGAAGCCAAATTTTTAAAAATAGTCGTATTGCCAAAATGATAATATGCTATTTTATTATATAGGCCTAGTCGATCTAGATTCTAGGCCTAGGCCTAGAATTCTAGATTGATCTGGATCTAGATCTATTAACAAACAAGAAACTCGTATCAAATTTTTTTAACAAAGTCGATGTGTAGTTTATTTTAAGATCATGTTAAAATAATAACTAGATCTAAACAATGAGTTGAAACCAGCTGATGCTAATGCTATCCATAGGCCTTTTTTTTTAAAGTATTAATTTGAATATTAGTTAGGACCGTTAGGCGTAATAAATAAGTAGTAATTTTACACTTAGAAAAAGTAAAAACAATTTGATGAATTTAAGTGGTAACCTTGTCACTAATCATCATAAATTTAAATCTAGATCTAGATTTCTAGATATAATTTCTAAAATCTAGATATAATTTCTAATGCCAGTTCCTGTATGTCAACTCATTGTATGGAGTCTTCAATTATGTTTCTTCCTCTTAACTCTGCAGGTGCTCAAAGACTGAGGTCATCCCCCAAGTTGTCTTAGAATCCAAAAGCTGTGGGGTTCAGATCACAAAGAACAACTGGAAGAATGGAGTCACTATTCCAATCAAGGCATCCATTGACAGAATTATTGATGGGGAGAGAGTGGTGTCATTGGCAATAACTGTTAGATTCAAGGGTCTGGTGAGTAGTGGCATAGATGATGTTAGTTTGGTGAGTTGTGGCATTGATGATGTTAGTTTGATGAGTAGTGGCATTGATGATGTTGGTTTGGTGAGTTGTGGCATTGATGATGTTAGTTTGATGAGTAGTGGCATTGATGATGTTGGTTTGGTGAGTTGTGGCATTGATGATGTTAGTTTGGTGAGTAGTGGCATTGATAATGTTAGTTTGGTGAGTGGTTGCTTTGATGATGTTCCTTTGGTTATTATGGCATTGATGATGTTAGTTATGTGAGTAGTGGTATTGATAATGTTAGTTTGGTGAGTAGTGGCATTGATAATGTTAGTTTGGTGAGTTGTGGCATTGATGATGTTAGTTTGGTGAATAGTGGCATTGGTATTGTTAGTTTGGTGAGTAGTGGCATTGATGATGTTAGTTTGGTGAGTGGTTGCTTTGATGATGTTCCTTTGGTTATTATGGCATTGATGATGTTAGTTATGTGAGTAGTGGTATTGATAATGTTAGTTTGGTGAGTAGTGGCATTGATGATGTTAGTTTGGTGAGTAGTGGCATTGATAATGTTAGTTTGATGAGTAGTGGCATTGATAATGTTAGTTTGGTGAGTAGTAGCATTGATGATGTTAGTTTGGTGTGTAGTGGCATTGATAATGTTAGTTTGGTGAGTAGTGGCATTGATAATGTTAGTTTGGTGAGTAGTAGCATTGATAATGTTAGTTTGGTGCTTAGTAGAATTGATAATGTTAGTTTGGTGAGTAGTAGCATTGATAATGTTAGTTTGGTGCTTAGTAGAATTGATAATGTTAGTTTGGTGCTTAGTAGAATTGATAATGTTAGTTTGGTGAGTAGTGGCATTACTAGTTAGCTGGTAAGTAAAGGTGTAGCTAATGTTATGGTCAAGGTTCTGGTTAGTAGGGGCACTACTGGTCAATGAGAATGACATCTTTAATTTTTTGAGTGTATATTCTAGTATATTTAAGTACATAGCTTTTAGTGACCTGATGCCATAAGACTACTTCCAATATTGAAGAATTAAAAATATGGTTCCACTGTTCCATTTCATATGCTGAACAGGCTAAGCGGTATGGGGGTATTACATTCAGAGTTTCTTCCAGGCATCTCTTGAAGAATTATTACATTAAGAATGCAAGAGTTAAAAATGATGGTCAAGGCTAGGCTAAAGATCAAGTCAAGCTTAGTGTAGTATTAAGGCTAGGGGAACTTATTAAAACTAAAGACAGTCTGCTTACATTTGTAAATGCTCTCCTGACATTTATAAAAGCAAGATACTTTAAAAAACTCTATACCCATGGGCCGTGTATTGCTAACTTTTAAAATATAAAATTATTAATATTTTCCCTTATATAAACTGTATTGTATCAGAATAGACATTTTTTATGTCCTCAGGAAGTCGTAGAAGAGAAGTGTCCGAACGTGGAAATTAAAGTTGTTGATCAGGATAAAACAGGCATCTGTCACTCTGTCAACGACCCACACATTCGAACTTTTGACAATTTGTAGGTTGGAATTTTACTTTTTTTAGGCCACACATTTTTTATTCTTTACTAATTAGATCAACTTTAGAATAAATTATTCAAATTAATTGTGTTTGACCTAATTATATAAAAAATAGAATGATTTTAAAATAATTCTGATTTTTTTAAAAGTTATTTTATAGTCAATAATGAAGACAAATTCAAAAACGACATAAACAATGTAATAAAAGTTTTTAAAAAAACATGGTGAATTTCTTCATGAAAAAATCTTTATTTAAGAATAAGAGTGGTTCAAATTTTCTGTTCACATTGTTTAAAATCATATAGATCAAGGTATAAACTCATTTTTATTGTTTTGTCTTTGATGTGATTGAAATTCAAAACATTTAAAGTGTGACTGTAATTTTCTTTTCTTCAAAATGGGAAGATTATTGTGGTAGAGGTTGTTTTTAAATTTCAACACCTCTGTCATTTCTTAAAAAAGTCAGCTCAGGTTTTCTTAGGTTTTCTTTAGCTTGAGCAGTAAATTAAAACTTCTAAAAACTAAAGACAGGTTAGAGTTATGTAATCTTTTAGTTTATTTCATTGGGGATTTTTTAAGCTTAGAGAGGAAATATTAATTAAAAACCAGGACATGTTGAAATATATTATTTTTTTTTTTTAAATTCATTTTTTCACTTTATTTCCTTAGATAGACTTAAGCTTAGGCTGTATATGAATACTTCTCGGGAAAAAATTCATGACATCATAAAAACAACATCATTAGAAAAAGGAAATGTCTAGTTAATATTGCTTGTTACGTACAGCCTAATTATATCATGTTATTTTGTTACAGTAACTATGACAACCATCTTACAGGGGAGTTTGTTCTGTACAAGCACAAGACCCTTCCCTATCAGGTAAATCTTTTGTTGCAATACTTAAAAAGTACATGTTACTTTTTTATTGTTTCAAATTACATATAGGATAAGAACCTCTGATCTAAAAGCATTTAAAAAATATTTCCATTTTATTGATGTTAAAAAGCAGTCATATTCATCTGGATAATTTAAAACTAGTTTTATTCTGAACGTAAATCTGCATTATTTTGTAACTTTTAAGTGTATAGTTTAGAGAGAGTTCAAGCAGGTTGACTTTTCTATGCAGGTGGTAGCCAGGTATGCACCTTGTGGACCGCGCCCTATACCTACATGTAACTGTGCAGCAGCTATCCAAACAGGGGATGACGTCATTACTTTCAAGTGAGTTAATTTTTGGGGAGGTAAATGACGTGTCATTATTTTCAAGGGAGTTAATTTTAGGGGAGGTAAATGACATGTCTTTATTTTCAAGGGAGTTAATTTTAGGGGAGGTAAATGACGTCTTTATTTTCAAGGGAGTTAATTTTAGGGGAGGTAAATGACATGTCTTTATTTTCAAGGGAGTTAATTTTAAGGGAGATAAATAGGATGTTGTTTTTGAGTGAGTTAATGTTTGCAAGGTATATAGATTTTGTTTTATTTAATTTAAAATGTAACCATTACTTTGAATATTATTGATGTGTATGAGAAGTAAGTGTGGGGGAGGGGGGGCGGAGAGAGGGGTTTGCATGCCTGTGATGAAAAATATGTTAGAAGATGAAAGACAGCCGTAGCAACTGATGTATAATCCAACCACTAATTCTGAAGCTAACTTTTTTTAGGCCTGATATTAACAATAAAAAAATGTTAATCTGTATCTACAGTTCTTGTGATGCCCCACAAAATAAGGGCGCCACAAACACAGTCGCTCTCAGTGTCAAGGTATTTACCAATGGGGAGTTAACTAGGGGAACCAGGATCAAGCAAATTGGAGAAGGGCAAAAATTTGAGGTACATTTGAATTCAAACATCTTTGCTTAAAGTTATATTTGCTGTAGAAATTATAACCCCAAAATATTTTAACCTCAAGTCTCACTCCAACATGAATTAACCACAAATTAGTCTCACCCCAACATAGTCTCACTCCAATATAGTCTCACCCCAACATAGTCTCACTCCAACATAGTCTCACCCCAACAGTCTCACCCCAATATAGTCTCACCCCAACATAGTCTCACTCCAACATAGTCTCACCCCAATATAGTCTCACCCCAACAGTCTCACCCCAATATAGTCTCACCCCAACATAGTCTCACTCCAACATGGTCTCACCCCAATATAGTCTCACCCCAACAGTCTCACCCCAATATAGTCTCACCCCAACATAGTCTCACTCCAACATGGTCTCACCCCAATATAGTCTCACCCCAACAGTCTCACCCCAACAGTCTCACCCCAATATAGTCTCACCCCAACATAGTCTCACCCCAACAGTCTCACCCCAATATAGTCTCACCCCAACAGTCTCACCCCAACAGTCTCACCCCAATATAGTCTCACCCCAATATAGTCTCACCCCAATATAGTCTCACCCCAACATAGTCTCACCACAACATAGTCTCACCACAACATAGTCTCACCACAACATAGTCTCACCCCAACATAAGTCTCACCACAATATAGTCTCACCCCAACATAGTCTCACCCCAATATAGTCTCACCCCAACATAGTCTCACCCCAACATAGTCTCGCCCCAACATAGTCTCACCCCAACATAGTCTCGCCCCAACATAGTCTCGCCCCAACATAGTCTCACCCCAACATAGTCTCGCCCCAACATAGTCTCACCCCAACATAGTCTCGCCCCAACATAGTCTCGCCCCAACATAGTCTCACCCCAACATAGGTAGTCTCACTCTATCACTGCTTCAGGTACATCTCCCCACTGGGACAATTGTGACCTTGACCCCAAGCTACTATTCCTTCATGAACATCATCATCACTGCATCAACAGCAGACTTTGGGAATACAGAAGGTAAACATTTCTCATTGAGCCTGCATTATGTGTCTAACAGAAGGTAAAAATCTCTCATTTAGCCTATTTTATGTATCTAACAGAAGATGAAAATCTCTTATTTAGCCTACTTTATGTATCTAACAAAAGATAAAAATCTCTCATTTAGTCTATTTTATGTAACTAACAGATGATAAAAATCTATTTAAAGTATTTTTTACAAAATATGTAATGAATTTTAAAATGCTTTAATAATAATTTTTGTACATCATTTTCTTAACATTTGTCCACACATATTTTTATCTTTTATGTTTTAATATTCCATTTCCTATGATATTTTGTTTGAGTTTTGATGCAGAAGTTTCTTAATTAATCAATAAAAGAGTTTTTAAATTCTAAAAATGTATATTAAAAAAAAGATACATATCCATAGTTACTAAGATAGTAAGAGATATTATTGCTAGCTTGGTCAAGCACTTGAACCCTGAATGCTGTTGGCTTGTAACACAGAGGTTAAGACTGTAGGTCATGCAAACATACCTGGCTTCCATGTCCAAACTATGTAAGGCAAGGCTCTGAGGAATACAGTTAAACTAAACTCGTGAATCTAAACTCATCAAAAAGCTTGCCATATGGATGTGAGAACTGCAGATTTCTACATCCTGTTAAGATATCCTAGCAAAAGAGCTTTGCTTGACTTGGTTATATTTTTATCAGAGAGAGAGAGATAGTAAGGAAAGGGTTGAAGACATTATTATGAAAGTTCAGCTCATGATTGGCTTATGTTTTTTTAACATGTTTTCAGGGTTATGTGGAGACTTTAATGGGATCAGTCAAGATGATTTTACAGGTCTTAATACAGACCAGTTCAACAACAAATGGAGGTATCTCAACAATAATTTTCATTTTACATTTAGCCTAATAATTATAAATTATGATTTAATATATAATAGGCTAATAAAAAGAATTTATATTTTGGATATTTTCAAACGTAAAATTAAAACTTTTGTACATATTAACTCATGTGAGCATTCTAAAATATATTTACACTAAAATGTGTGTGCAAATTAATATATATACACAAAAAACATTAGTACAACTCAAAAAAAAACAACCTACCCTTTTACTTTTGGTCAGATGAAAACTAATTTATTTATTCATAATTTGAAAAAGATAGATAATAAAAGATTACTTGTCAAATTCATTTGCATATCAAACATTTTTTGTCACAATATTTAATGGTGTTTCTAAATTCACCAACAGATCAACAAACACAATATTTAATGGTGTTTTTAAATTCACCAACAGATCAACAAACACAATATTTAATGGTGTTTTTAAATTCACCAACAGATCAACAACCACAATATTTAATGGTGTTTTTAAATTCACCAACAGGTCAACAACCACAATATTTAATGGTGTTTTTTAATTCACCAACAGATCAACAAATACAATATTTAATGGTGTTTTTTAATTCACCAACAGATCAACAAACACAATATTTAATGGTGTTTTTAAATTCATCAACAGATCAACAAACACAATATTTAATGGTGTTTTTTAATTCATCAACAGATCAACAAACACAATATTTAATGGTGTTTTTAAATTCATCAACAGATCAACAAACACAATATTTAATGGTGTTTTTTAATTCATCAACAGATCAACAAACACAATATTTAATGGTGTTTTTAAATTCACCAACAGATCAACAACCACAATATTTAATGGTGTTCTCCCTGAGCAAACCTCAACGACACCAACCTACTGCAGCTGTATCCAAGGTGCTAAACCTGTGGTCAGTTCTGGCCTTGATGTGTACAGCTGTACAGATCCTGACCGTAAGTCTCGTCAGAACTTGTAGGTTTATGTAGGTTTATCAGCACTTGTAGGTTTATGTAGGTTTATCAGTGCATGTAGGTTTATTAAAAATGTAGGTTTATCCACACATAGTCTCATCAGCACATGTAGGTTTATGTAGGTTTATCAGAACTTGAAGTTTTATGTAGGTTTATCAGCGCATGTAGGTTTATTAAAAAATGTAGGTTTATCCACACATAGTCTCATCAGCACATGTAGGTTTATGTAGGTTTATCAGCACATGTAGATTTATGTAGGTTTATCAGCACTTGTAGGTTTATGTAGGTTTATCAGCACATGTAGGTTTATAAAAAAATGTAGGTTTATAAAAAAAATGTAGGTTTATCATCACTTGTAGGCTTACTAGAACATGTAGCTAAAAAAGCACATGTAGGTTTATATTTATCAGTCCATGTACTTTTATTGATATGGGTGGCAGTCAGTAGCGTACGCAGGGGGGGGGGGAGCAGGGGGAGCGGCCGCTCCCCCTCTGGCCATTTTCAGTAAAGTGGCGCCTTTTTTTGGAAACTTTTAAAACTCAAAGTTTTAAACAATGATATTTGTTAAAAAAATATTTTTGGTCGGCACATCTATGTAAATCACAAGATTTCTTTTCATGCAGCAATTAAGCATTATTGTTCTAGTCTAGTAGTGTCTACGTTTACAACACGTATCAACAGCTCATCAGTTTGCCATTCTAAAAATAACCATTACGTTGCATTGCAATATTTAAAAAACCTCTACGGTAGTACCACTTGGCAAGAGGGAACGTAACACAATCTGTTTTGTAATTCTAGTAAAAAAAAATTCTTACATAATAATTCCTGGGAAATTATTCATTGTTTTTGGTTGTAGTGTGTGTATATATATATATTTTTGTTTAGATTGATACATTGTGTGTTTTTTCTTATTTCTTCAGAGTGCTATTTTACACCATAGCGAAGTAATGACATACAGCTAGTAATTATATATATATATATATATATATATATATATATATATATATATAGGCCTATATATATATAGGCCTATATATATATATATATATATATATATATATATATAATACACGTATATAGAACGTGTTAAAAATTCGGCGCCTTTTTTGCTCTTTTCGCTCCCCCTACCACGAAAACCTGGATACGCCTCTGGTGGCAGTGTTTGTAGATTTATTAGTGTGTGTATGTTTATAACTAGGTGTTTATAACTAGGTCTTTTAGTTAAACAGATTAATTCTTTAGATCAGCCCAGTAAACCATAATTATTTATATCATTAATTTAATTACTTGCTTAATTTACTTTCAGCCAACGATGCCACACAACTGTTTATTAAAAACGCTAGGACACCAAAGGCCAACACCAAGGCACCTCGGAGAAAAAGGGAAATCAATCAAGGTGCTGGTGTAAGTGATTTGAATTACCTCCCTTATGTAAACCCACCTCCCCCCCAAAGTCATATACTTTCATATATTCTTCATCAATGTGTTCACTGGTTGAAAAGTGACAAGTAAGCATTTGTACCAATGCCAATGGATACCCTAATAATTTTATATTTAAAAGGATTAATGAAGCACATGTAAAAAAGAGTTTCATTTATTATTATAGATTCGTTTTATCCTGTGATTTCCAAACTTTTTACTTTCCATTTAAAAGCCCAACAAATGTATTGATATGTATATCAGGGTGTTTTATCTTGGTCTCCTTACTTTCTAAACTGTGAGTGCATAAGAGAATGTAACTAGGAAGAGACTTATGATTAGGGATCAATACAACTTTTCTATCATGGTTCTGTAAGAATAAGAAGCTTTTACGGCTTCTTTACTTAAAAGACAGCTTTAATTTCAAGAACATGGGTGGTATTTAGTTCAAACATTAGCTCACAAATAACCAACATAAGATTAATACTTCGTGGGTCAACTTTCAACAGTTAATATTAAATTAATGAGATTTCACTTATCTGTATAAAATGGGATTCAAAATATTTCCTGTTTTCTTACTGAAACTAAAGCAAAAAGATTATTAAAATCTTCATGAAACATAAAAACTAGACTAAATATCATATAAGGATTGTAATAATAATGTTTATTAACATCTACAAACAATGATCATTACTTTTATTTTGCAAATGTGGAATTTTTGGAAACATAAATACATATTGCCTCCCTTGATTTATTTAAATTTTGAGTGTAAATATTAACACATTTCATATTCAATGCAAACAATTTTTTATCATTGCAATATATATAGGTTTATTTAGAGTTATCTATGCCCAAGCAATCACTTAAGTTTATCCATCATACATACATATTTTTAGCTAAGGGTTAAGCAATTGAAAAGATTTCAGTAAAGTATATTATTATATTTTTAGACGTGTTCTTTTGGAAGAAGGTTTTAGTTCATACCTGGACACAAGGTATTAAAACTGAAAGGTACAACTATCTGGCAAGTACCCTTTCAAATCTTATGATTGATGGGGCAGGTGAAGTAGAGTTCACTTGTTTCAGTGACATCTTTAGTTATAATCTGCTCTTTTTAATTATATGATTGCTAGTTGTATTCCTTGTGTCCTCTCAACTTACTTATCCATTTGCGGACCCTGAAGAGCAAATGGCTGCAAACACACCTCTTCACTGGACTCTCTTTATATGCATCCTCTTAAGCCTAGCAGCCCTAGACTCTTCTTCTACTGACCGCAAGGATTTTCTTGGCCAGCCTACTTTCATCTTTCCCTTGGGATTCTTTCTTGGCAATGTTGTTCTCTCCCCTTCTCAGGGTATGCCCTATCCATCCCCATTTTCAGGCTTTAATATCCTTGTCTATTGGCTGTTATTTGGTGTTAGGCCACAGGTTGTTATTCGACATTTTGTCTGGCCATCTTATTTTTAGGATGTCGTAAACATCAGTTTGAGAATGACCGCATCCTGTCTATATTTGTTTTAGTAACCCTCCAGATCTCCGAACCATAAAGCAATTCCTTGTGTTACTGTCAATAAAAAATTGTATTTTCCATCCTATATATTTTTTCAGCTTGCTCTTATGATCAGCATAATAATACAGTTTTATTCAGTAATGTTTTCAGATTTAAACAACCGAGGTAACTTACTGAATGTGGATGTTAAGAGTAAAGTTTCCCTTTCAAACCTGACGGTCTATGGGCCAAGTAGAGTAGAGTTCACTTGATGGGACGGAGTGGTCTAGCTGTAGAGAGCTGGACTGCTAACCCGTAAGTCTCGAGTTCGAATCGGGGTTCAAGTCAGTTGAACGTCCCTGAGTCCACTCAACTCTGATGGGTACCTAACTCACGTTAGGGAAAGTAAAGGCGGCTGGGCATAGTGCTGACCACACTATCTCTTCATATGCCGAGGTCACAAGTGAATGTGGATGTTAACCATTTCAAAAAAGGCTAACGGTATTGCCATTTCTCACAGAGCACAGAAGCTGTATCAATCAGTCGAGACGAGGCTGAAACATTGTGCCGGGATACACTGGAGAAGAGTGACATAATGAAAGTATGTGGGGATCAGATCACTAGTACCCAGGTTAAACAGAGCATAGAGGACTGTGTGAATGATACGATGGTGAGTTTTGTTTTGGTTCAAGGAATATGTTGTTTTTTTTTTATTTTCATTATCACTGTTCATCACCTTCAATAAAAAAATTATTTTATTTTCATTAACACAGTTCATCACCTTCAATAAAAAATCTATTTTATTTTCATTATCACAGTTCATATCACTTTCAATCAACGTTTGCTTTTATTTTCATTATCTCAGTACGGCACATTCAATAAAAAAAAATTATTATTATTATTATCAGTGTTTAATCCATTCATTTTACTAAAAAGCATTTAATACAAGTGGCTTAAAAATTATAAAATTCAAATAAATAGTACAATTCTGAGTTGTTGTAGGCCTATCATAATCATTGAGGGTAGATATCATGGGATACAGGAAGTATGAGGTAGGGTACAGTTGATCTATTAAACTTGACATGTAAAGAGATTGTGTGATCTTTACTTAGCTGACTTTGTATACTTCAACATGTTATTTCATCACCCAATGTATGTGGTCTAAATGAGATTGTAAATTTTATTCTACTTTGTTCTTATTTGTAATGCTGGAAGTGATTTCTCCCGATTCAATTATTATACACCGTTTAAATTGTTGACTCTGCTTTTAGCCTGCTTTTCTTTTGGAATAATTTTGACTGAACAATTGCGCATATTTTAGATCACAGGCCAAAAAGAGTGGGCAGTGTCACACCTACGTGACTTAGGAGATGAGTGTCTGATGCATGCTGTTCGGAACCCGTCCGTCTGGACTGGGGCGAGTGAGACACCAGGTCAGCCTGACCTACCCAAGGCTTTGGTCACTCAGCTGTGTGCTGAAGATTGTGGCCCTAATGGTCAATGTGTCAAAAGTAAGTCTAACTAAAGATTGTGGTTCAAATGGTCAATGTGTCAAAAGTAAGTCTGACTAAAGATTGCTGTCCAAATGGTCAGTGTGTCAAAAGTAAGTCTGACTAAAGATTGTGGTCCAATGGTCAGTGTGTCAAAAGTAAGTCTGACTAAAGATTGCTGTCCAATGGTCAGTGTGTCAAAAGTAAGTTTGACTAAAGATTGTGGTCCAAATGGTCAGTGTGTCAAAAGTAAGTCTGACTAAAGATTGTGGTCCAAATGGTAAATGTGTCAAAAGTAAGTCTAACTAAAGATTGTGGTTCAAATGGTCAATGTGTCAAAAGTAAGTCTAACTAAAAATTGTGGTCCTTATGGTCAATGTGTCAAAAGTAAGTCTGACTAAAGATTGTGGTCAATGTGTCAAAAGTAAGTCTGACTAAAGATTGATGTCCAAACGGTCAATGTGTCAAAAGTAAGTCTGACTAAAGGTTGTGGTCCGAATGGTAAATGTGTCAAAAGTAAGTCTGACTAAAGATTGTGGTCCAAATGGTAAATGTGTCAAAAGTAAGTCTGACTAAAGATTGTGGTCCAAATGGTTAATGTGTCAAAAGTAAGTCTGACTAAAGATTAACTTCAATGTGTCAAAAGTAAGTCTAACTAAAGATTGTGGTCCTAATATTCAATGTGTCAAAAGTAAGTCTGACTAAAAATTGTGGCCCAAATGGTCAATGTGTTAAAAGTAAGTCTGACTAAAGATTGCTGTCCAAACGGTCAATGTGTCAAAAGTAAATCTGACTAAAGATTGTGGTCAATGTGTCAAAAGTAAGTCTGACTAAAGATTGTGGCCCTAATGGTCAATGTGTCAAAAGTAAATCTGACTAAAGATTGTGGTCAATGTGTCAAAAGTAAGTCTGACTAAAGATTGTGGCCCAAATGGTCAATGTGTCAAAAGTAAGTCTGACTAAAGATTGTGGTCCAAATGGTAAATGTGTCAAAAGTAAGTCTGACTAAAGATTGTGGTCAATGTGTCAAAAGTAAGTCTGACTAAAGATTGTGGTCCTTATGGTCAATGTGTCAAAAGTAAGTCTGACTAAAGATTGTGGTCAATGTGTCAAAAGTAAGTCTAACTAAAGATTGTGGCCCAAATGGTCAATGTGTCAAAAGTAAGTCTGACTAAAGATTGTGGTCCAAATGGTAAATGTGTCTAAAGAAAGTCTGACTAATGATTGTGGTCAATGTGTAAAGTAATTCATGCAAACTACTGTGCTGTGTCTAGATCTCTGTGCATTAAACTTTGAGCTTATTTGTCTAGCTGTCTGTGTATTGAACTTTGACCTTATTTATCTAGTTGTCTGTGTATTTAACTTTGAATTTATTTGTCCAGCTGTCTGCATATTGAACTTTGACCTTATTTGTCTACCTGCATATTGAACTTTAACCTTCTATGTCCAGCTGTCTGTGAGTGCAGTGACGGCTACTCAGGTGAGAGATGTCAGTATGGTCCTGACACTCAACCTGAAGTGTTTGGCCTGTCTTGGGCGACCTGTGACACCCAGGCATCAAGTTGCCTCACAGTGAGCCTTGATGGCAAACATTTCAGCAAGTTCAAGGACTTCTTCTGCCACTTTCAATATGCCACAGTAAGTTGTGTTTTCTTTGTTGGTTTTTTCTTATTCGATAACACAAAGCCACAAAGAAAAATGTTTAGGAGAACTGACATAACCTGATGCATAAAAAAAAGTTAAGTGAGAGACGAATAGTTTTACTAGAGAGAAATATTGTTTTAATTGCTTATTAACAGTACAATTAAAAGCAAATAATTTTAAAGCTTTTATTTTTGTTTAATTAATGAGTTATAAATGATAATTGTTTCAATGTTCACCAATGGGTACCTCACCAAAGCCTGGTTAAGTAAAGAAGTCTAAACATATACCTGACCACATAATCACTTCATTGACAAGGTCAAAGATTCAGATAAGCTCTACTTCGTCTATGCTAGTTATATGTTAATTTTTTGTGTATACATGCATTGTCAGCCTGTGAGAAATTAAGATAAATTTGATAATTTAGATAGTAATTTATCATGACAATGTAATAAACGTATTATTTTGATGTTTTTTTATTTTTAAGTTGAAACTATTAAATTTAAAATTATATTTTTAAGATGGAGAAATATTATAATCTTTTAGCTAAAAAAAACGAATTATATATCTATATATGCTGCAATATTCAAAATTTAATTAGCGATAAGCTCCAAATATAAACATTTTCCATTTCCAGTCAATTTTTCATGTTAATAAATGTAAAAGTGAATTTTTAAAATTAAAATTTGGATTTTTAAAAAACCAGCTACACCTGTCCAGAAAGACTGGTTGTTCCTCATTAGCTGCACCCAAGACCTATTCTGATATACTTTGTGTAATAGATTGAGATAATTGTGAGGTCAAGGGAACTCACTCTTCTGTATTAGTACTATATTTATATTGTTATCTTGAGTGATGTCCCTTACATGATATAAATAGTTGTCTCTCGCCACTTCCTTCCTCTCCTGATTATCAACATGTAGTTAGACCCAATAAACGTTTTATATACAACCACATGCTTCTATCGTCAATCTATTATATCTGGCGACGAGGATAAATGATCCACTAGAAAGAGCACCTACTTACGCAAAAAAGAGGTTTGCTAGAGCTTATTAGCTAAGTATTTCTAGAATAATGGCGCGGTATGGCCAAATAAAAGAATTTGATTCGAATGATGAAATCATTCAAGATTACCTAGATAGGTTAAGCTTTTACCTTGAAGCAAACGACGTGACGATGGAAGCCAAAAAGAGAGCTGTTTTGTTAACAGTCATAGGGCCTCAACAATTTAGGCTACTAAAGGACTTATGCGCACCAGCTAGTCTAACTACCAAGAGCTTTAACGAGCTGAGCAAATTGCTAACAGACCACCATGCGCCTACCCCATCAAAGTTTCTATGTCGAGCTAGATTTGACAGTAGGACTCGTCAACCAAACGAGTCAATATCAGAATATGTTGCTGCTTTACGTCATTTAAGTGAATTTTGTGAATTCGGCGATACGCTGTCTGACAAACTATGTGAAAAGTTTGTGACAGGTGTAAACAGCCCTGATATTCAAAGAAAGTTGCTGCTCGAGTCAGATCTAACATTAGAAAAAGCAATGCAACTCGCAACTTCAATCCAGCAGTCATCAGATGCGGCGAAATCTCTAACACCTTCAGGGATCCATGCAGTAAACAGCAGGTTAGTCAATAAACATCAACCCCATCAGAGCATTCCAACTTATGCTAAACAGCCTGCACGTTCAAATCCTAGATCTAAATCTAGTAATAATTATCAAAAATGTCATCGATGCAAAGGTCCCCATGCATCTCATCGGTGCAAGTTCAAGTCTGCAACTTGTTATAAGTGCAGTAAGCAAGGTCACATTGCCAAGGCCTGCTTTGCAAAGTCTTCGTCTGTTGCTAAATCTAGCCAGTCAAGACAGTACCGCAACCAAAGGCAGCACTATGTTAACTCTCACCAAGACTACCTAACCCAACCAATGAACCACTCTACCTGTGAAAATGCTCAAACTGATTCGCAGCCGGATTTCAACCTGTTCTCTGTGAAATCAATAAGTCATGCTCCCATCAATGTACCAGTTTATATCAACGGTAAGAGCATCAGCTTCCAACTTGACACTGGAGCATCTCTAACAGTCATAACAAAGAAAGATTTTGACGCTGTCACAGGAGGATCAGTGCCTCTACAGCCATGTCACAAGTGCCTAACAACATACACTGGTGACAATGTTCCGGTAATAGGAGAGTGTATGGTTCATGTAAGTTATAATGGTCAAAGTGTTAAACTTCCTCTTCTTGTGGTTGAAGGAAATGGACCACCATTACTAGGTAGGAACTGGTTAAGTAATCTTAAGTTAAATTGGGAGAGTATTTGTTCATTGAACAATGGAAAAGAATCTAGTCTTACTTCACTAGATAAAGTTATATCTGAAAATAAATGTGTTTTTAGTAATTCAGGTTTACTAAAGGATAGAACAGTGAAGATAAGCATTAAAGACACAAATCCAAGATACTGCAAAGCTAGAGTTCCACCTTATGCAATGAGGAACAAAATTGAAAATGAGCTAAGTAGATTGGAATCTAATGGCATCATAAAGAAGGTAGACTATTCCGATTGGGCGTCGCCCATTGTGCCAGTGTTAAAGAAGGATGGTTCTATAAGAATTTGTGGAGATTATAAAACTACACTGAATAAGCAAATAGAGCTAAATAGGTACCCTATTCCTAACATTGAGGAAATTTCTTTGAATTTGGCAGGAGGAGACAAATTCACTGAATTAGACTTTAGTCATGCTTACACTCAACTAGAACTGCATCCAGATTCAAAAGTCTATACGACAATAAACACACATAAAGGACTCTACCAATATGAAAGACTATGTTTTGGCATATCATCTAGCCCTGGAATTTTCCAAGCTGTCATGGACAGTATTTTTAAGGATTTTCCAAATGTTTGTGTGTACTTTGACAATGTGTACATAACTGGTAAGAATGACACTGAACATCTTAAAACACTTGATAAAGTATTGAAAATTGTTGGTGAAAAAGGTTTAAAGATAAACAAAGATAAATGTCAATTCATGTTGACAGAAATTAGTTTTCTTGGTTATATATTGAGCAAACAAGGCATCAGACATCAACCTGAGAAAACAAAAGCCATTAAAGAAGCACCCAAACCTGAAAATACCCAACAACTAAGAGCTTTTTTGGGCTTGATAAATTACTATGCAAAGTTCATAGGAAATCTGTCTGGTAAACTATCACCACTGTACAAGCTGCTACAGAAAAATGCAACTTGGCACTGGGGTAAACAACAAGAAGCTGCTTTTAATACAGCAAAAGAGGCTTTGTCTTCTGACACCTTACTAACTCACTATGACCCAGGGAAAAGACTTATATTAACATGTGATGCTTCACCAGATGGTGTAGGAGCAGTCTTGTCCCACATGGATGAGAAGGGTGACAGACCCATTGCTTTTGCCAGTAGATCTTTGAACCAGGCTGAGAAAAATTATTCTCAGTTAGATAGGGAAGGCTTAGGCATCATTTTTGGTGTTAAGAAATTTCATAAGTTTCTGTTTGGTAGGAAGTTCACCATCTTTACAGATCATAAACTATTGCTAGGTTTATTTGGAGAAAACAAAACCCTACCTGAGCATGCCTCACCAAGAATTCAAAGATGGGCTATCACACTAACTGCATACAATTATGAATTGAGATACAAACCTGGATCTGAGAATAGTGCAGATAGTCTGAGTAGATTACCTTTAAAAAAAACCAAAGCCTGAGCTATGTACCAGAAGATGTATTTGTTCTCTTCACTATCATGGATAACTCCAATATAAATGTGAATGATATTAAAAGAGAAACACAAAAAGATGAGTGCTTAATAAAAGTATATGAGTACTGTAAGAATGGTTGGCCTGAAGAGTCTGTGAATGATGACTTAAGGCCATATTAAATAAGAAATAAAAACCAGATGCCAATTCAAAAATAGTTCCATTAAATCATGACAACACATGCATTGAAAGAGAATTTGGTGTTAATAAGAATGTGTATCTAAGAAATTATGGGAGAAAGGAAAAATGGATACCAGGTCAAATTGTTCAATGTACAGGACCTGTGTCTTATAAAGTAAAAATAACTTGTGCAGATAATAAGTGTGAATCTGTCAATCCCACCAAATCTGAACAGTTCACACCAACTCAGTTTGTTCCACAACCAAGTTCTGTTGATATGAGTGAACCAAGTTGTCTGGAGTCAGAAAATGTAAATGCTGGAGTTAATGATTTAAATCCTAGACCTCCTGAGATAGAGAATCCAAATGGTCAGAATCTTGAGTCACCAAATCAAAAGCCACTGAGAAGGTCAAGCAGGACAATCAAGGTCCCAAATAAGTTAGACCTATGATTTTAAAGGTCAAAAGGACTTTGACATCATTGTTTTGTATCTTGATTATGTTGTGGCATATTGTGCATTGTTTGTAAGGATGTAATCTACCATAGTGTTCATGTTACAATATAATTGGTGATTTTTGGATACTATCAATTGTTCTATTGAGAGATGTGTTATTGTGTTCTAAGGGTAAAGGGATGTAATAGATTGAGATAATTGTGAGGTCAAGGGAACTCACTCTTCTGTATTAGTACTATATTTATATTGTTATCTTGAGTGATGTCCCTTACATGATATAAATAGTTGTCTCTCGCCACTTCCTTCCTCTCCTGATTATCAACATGTAGTTAGACCCAATAAACGTTTTATATACAACCACATGCTTCTATCGTCAATCTATTATACTTTGTCACAAAATTTTCTGTACTCTATTCAACATCTCCACCAGATAACTGACTCAGCAGAGAAAACAGAAGAAAAGCAGGTTGTGTCTGCTGAAGCTATCAGCTGGTCTGCCATAGCCTGCACCCTCCCAGCACTGCGAAGTGGGTACATCAGCCTCAGCAGTGACAGATCGCAGGAGGGGGAGAGAGCTTTTCTTTACGTCGTCCACAACTCCAGCTGCCAGATTTGTACATTGAATGACAATCTAACAGATGTGCAGTGTCAAATAGTTGTAAGTAGTTTTTTTTTTCTCTATTTACTTTTGACAGATATTAATTTTTTCTTTGGCAAATTAAAATCCTTATTAGAAATATTTCAATTTATTTCTTGTTTAATTTGTACTACATCTTGTTTTTAAATTTGTACTGCATTTTGAAATATATCAACTTATAAATTATTTTTGAATTTTTGAATAGTTTTTTACCACTTAAATGGATCTTTTACTTTTTTAATTAATAGTATAATTTACAGTATAATTCACATATTCATTTTTATTTTGGAAATATGCTTCAACATTGAAAATAGTTGTTAATAGCATTTAAAAAATACTATCCAACTAAATATAGATATTTGAGTCTGGAATTACATGTTGGTCTATGTTTTAATGTATTTTTCTAATTGCTTTATGTATAAAGAAATAAAATAGCAAGCTAAATTACAATTATTAAGATATGTGGAGTTTTTATATTATTTATTTTTTTACCATGTTGAGGTATCTTCCAGCATTGTGTGTTTAGGAAAGTTTAGGTATTATACCATTAATTCTTACAGGAAAACCAGTGTGGAATTAATGGAAAGTGTTACCTGCCTGATGAAGTGGACCCTGACGATTCATGCAACATTTGCAGCTTAGAGCACAGCAACACTTCTTGGACCAGAAAAACCGGTAAAATTTGCGCATCTAAAAAAAAACAAGTTATTTTCTCCTGTCACATTTCTAAACTATAAAATTTGTGATGTTTTTGTGATGGATTACTGAGTAGCAATTGTTGGACTTTTAAAAAATTTGACAAGCTACAGATAATGCATTTTATCATAGGAAGGACTGGATTAGATACTTAAGAAATTGGGATTTTAACTAAAAAAAAGCGGTCTGAGCTGAACTTAACTTGCATATATTTCTATTGGAAAGCGATCACCTGCTTTGCGTTAAACTTGGAAATTTGTATTTTAAAATCGTCCAAATCAAAAACCATGTTCTTTTTTTTTTTGTTAACTTTAGGAATATTAATTAAATTTTCACTATAAGTATTCTATAAAATTAAAAAAAAATGTATTCCCAGATTCAGCCTGCATGAAGGATGATGGCCCACTCTCACAGAAAGCCATCATTATAATTGCTGTAGTGTGTGGGGCCGCAGTGCTACTGGCCATTATAATCACAGTTGTCTGCCTCTTGCGCAAAAAACGAAGGTGGGTTGTTGTTTTTTTTTTAGTTGAATAAATAAAGTGAATTACTATTAATCACTGACCACATTTTATTAAGCAATAGTTTAAAATGAAGTTTAACATTGCAATAAAAGCAGTGCGTTGATTTAATCTTACATTGTGTGTGCGTGTGTGATTACAGACAGAGGAAACATGTGGTGAAAAAGGACTACAGAGAGGTCTCCTTACATGAGACCAGAACTGATGAGACTGAGAAGATATGAGCTCAAACATAAATGTGTGCTCATTTTTGTGAAGATGTGAATTCAAGCATGAACTTTACATTGTTCGTGTGAGTGCATCTGCAAGGAGATGTGAATTCAAGCATGAACTTTACATTTTTTACATGTGTGCATTTTATAACTTCATGGATTTATTTGCATTTTCAATTTTTATTTTTTTTTTATTTTTAATCTACCATTTATAGAATTGTTTTTTGTTTTTTTTAACATTAGTTAATTATGCTTCTTTTTATAAGAAATTTAAAAATATTCTAAAAATGTGTTTGAAAATATAATTATCCTTTATATTAATCTGTGCATTTAAAAAAAAATAATAATATCAAAGCCTTTTATACTGCTATTACACTGCCTTTGTCTTCAAATGATGTGATATTGTGGGTTTGTTTTAATCTCTAGTCTCTATACTTTTATTTTAGACAAATCAAAAACCCCAAATTTGAAAACTTTTGTTAAAAAGTAGAGCACTATGTTTACAGAGATTCTGATAATCTTTATATTAGGGTCTAAGGCTAAGTGATCTAAATCCATTTTAGTTTGAAGGATGTCTGTGTAGTAGTGTATAGCATGGTATTCTTGCCTTATCATTGTTGTAGTAACATTTAATAAAATACACAGCATTAATGCACATCAAAAATTAAACTAAACTGCCAGTTTGAGCAAGTATAGTAACACAGCTTTATGAATTGTTTATATAACTTTACCTAATACACTCTCAACACATTTCCATTTACTAATGATCTGCAGATCTTACTGATCTTTATAAAAGCCAGAATAACTTTTTTAAAATATATCCACTAATTTTTATAGGGTGGCCAACCCTAAGAAAATTAAAACAATTTAAAACTTGTTTTTAATCAACATTTTTTAATTTGACGTGCATCTAATTTTTAAATGAATTGAACATATACATAAACAATGACCTTTAGTTTTTCTAGAATGTTTTACAAAATTAACAGCTTGTTTTAATCCTTGCCTTCGTGTGTTCTGTAATGTGTTCTAGTATTTTATAATTGGAAAACTTGCTTCATTTTTTGGCTTAAATACAAAACTTGTATAATTAATACAACAAAAAAAAATTAATATATTTTATTTTATACATTTATACTAAGCATTTTAAAATTGTGTGAAATGTTGCTTATTTTGTGCCTTTCTTGCCAAAGGATCCCTTGATATAGATTGCTAATTATCGCATGTTTATGCAAATTTGTTTTAATTAAGAGGCCTTCTATGTATCATCGTACAAGGATACCTTCCTTGTATAATGAAGTTACCTATAATCTGTTTATCATCTTACTATGGGTGTATAACATTTTTGGACAGGATACTGCTATTATGTATCTTGTAACTGTTGATTTAATTCTTGTTGTGTGAGGTTACCTATAAGCTATGTAAAAAATATTACTATGGAAGTATTGCTTGTTTAGTTAGGTTACCTATAAGCTATGAAAAAATCTTGCTATGGAAGTATTGCTTGTTTAGGTAGGTTACCTACAGGGGCGGAACTACAGTGCCGCCAGACCCCGCAATGCGGGGGGGCCCAGACCGAATGGGGGCCCAAAAATCCCGGCTAAATTATTTAAAAAAAAATTTAAAAAAAAAAATTTAAAAAAAAAAAAAAAAAAAAAAAAATAGGTGGAGGTCGAGTTATCTTTCTTCTACAGTTACAAAAAAACACGATAGTCGGCAAACGTCTTTGAAAAAAAATGTACAGACTATAGCTCGAGAGACCGCCAGACATATAGACAACTTCAAAGACGCAGGGGCGGAACTACAGTGCCGCCAGACACCGCAATGCGGGGGAGGGGGGCAGACCGATTGGGGGCCCAAAAATCCTGGCTAAATTATTTTTAAAAAAAAAATGTAAAAAAAAAAATTAAAACAAAAACAAAATTAATTTTTTTTTTTTTTAAATTAGGTGGAGGTCGAGTTATTTTTCTTCTACAGTTACAAAAAAACACGATAGTCGGCAAACGTCTTTGAAAAAAAATGTACAGACTATAGCTCGAGAGACCGCCAGACATATAGACAACTTCAAAGACGCAGGGGCGGAACTACAGTGCCGCCAGACACCGCAATGCGGGGGAGGGGGGCAGACCGATTGGGGGCCCAAAAATCCTGGCTAAATTATTTTTAAAAAAAAATGTAAAAAAAAAAAAAAATAATTTTTTTTTTTTAAAATTAGGTGGAGGTCGAGTTATCTTTCTTCTACAGTTACAAAAAAACACGATAGTCGGCAAACGTCTTTGAAAAAAATGTACAGAATATAGCTCGAGAGACCGCCAGACATATAGACAACTTCAAAGACGTAGCCTACCTTTTTACTTTTAGTGGCGTCGATTAGGAGAACAAAAAAGGATTGTTATATTGTTTACATTATTAAATATATATATATATATATATATATATATATATATATATATATATATATATATATATATATATATATATGATTGTGTGTTTAAACTACTGGCCTGGACTCTACAAAAAATATAATTATTTATTTCGATGTCATACATTTATAATTGCGTTCATTTTTACTTTAACAACTGTATCAATAAACTTGTGAAAGTTTAAGTTATCTCCCTTTAGCGAAGCATCTGAAGTTTTTGCCGGCACGCTTTGAAATCGGGCTGGGGAAATGTTGCGGCGACTATTCTGGTCTTCTAGACGACCGGAAAAAGTCGGCACTATTGATGTAGATGTTTATCGGCACTTTCTAGTCCCCTTCCCTTGAACCTTCCCAACTCTCACCCCTCCCCCCTCACCCCCCTCTCACCCCTACCCCTCACCTCTACCCCTCACCACACCCTTACTCTTACAATAAGATGTAATGCATAGATTAACGAACCGTCTATGAACTACTGAACTGTAAACTGACTACTTCTGCACATTTTGTTTAAGACACTAGTCAGTAGTTGTTCATTTACCTGATGAAGTATTTTGTAGACGAGTCTAATTCACACAACAAGGAAGGTAAGGCTCGTCTTTATATTATTAATTGTTTTATAATTAGAACACGTATTAATTGAACATTAGTTATTAACACTAAATACATTAAAGTTAATCAAATTTAGGATACAATGATCTAGCTTTTAAGCCTAAAAACAACCAAAAGATCTATATCACCTTTGAATGTATTAATGTTTAATTTCATGTTTAGCCCGTAACGGGGAGGGGTTATATTCGGTTATAATATGGGTGGGTCTTTGGCAGTGTTTCTTCCAGACTTTTTTCTTCGGGGGGGGGGGGCACTTGAAATTTTCGGAGGGGGGGGGGGGGGGCGGACACTGTTAAAAGTATATATTTTCTATATAAATTATATACATTTAATTTCTTTCGGGGGGGGGGGGGGGTGCGGACCGCACCGGGTGACACCATTTAGGGGGGTGACACCAAGGCAAAAAATAGCAAAATATATAGAGAAAAACTCGAGGGGGGGTGCAAATCGAAAACTTGAGGGGGGGGGGTGCAAATCAAAAACTTGAGGGGGGGGGTGCAAATCGAAAATTTGAAAGTTTATCCCTGGGAAGGGTCTCTATGCCTCTGGGGGGGTGACACCATTAAGTGCCGCACCGGGTGACACCCGACCTCGCTACGCCACTGCACCCGATATATATATATATATATATATATATATATATATATATATATATATATATATATATATATATATACATATAGATATATATATATATAGGGGCCTAAAAAAAATTTTGCGGGGGGGCCATTTTTTTCTAGTTCCGCCACTGGTTACCTATAAGCTATGTAAAAAATATTACTATGGAAGTATTGCTTGTTTAGTTAGGTTACCTATAAGCTATGTAAAAAATATTACTATGGAAGTATTGCTTGTTTAGTTAGGTTACCTATAAGCTATGAAAAAATCTTGCTATGGAAGTATTGCTTGTTTAGGTAGGTTACCTATAAGCTATGAAAAAATCTTGCTATGGAAGTATTGTTTGTTTAGTTAGGTTATAATCTATATAGAAATCTTACTATGGATGTATTTCATGTTTATTGCTGCTTTCAATTATCTATTTTTAATCTTACTATGAAAGTAATTCTTGTTTAATTAGGCTACCTATAATCTATCATCTTACTATGCATTTAACAATTGTTTATTGAGGATGTCTATTATCTATGTACCATGTAACTTTAGACATAAGTTTTGCATAGTTTATCTATAAATAAAACTATGTTCAAGATAATATGATTTCATACACCCTACATAGTTTCAAACATTTAATAAATGTAAGTGATATATTCCCTAGATTAACCAAACCACATTAATGTCTGGTGAAATATTACAAATGAATGTTAACTAAATTTAGTATTATTAAATTAACACATTCTGTATCTAGCCCTAATGGTTCTCTAAGCATAATCTAAACTTCTAGTCTACATATAAGACAACTGTTCCAGCATTTAGTGTGTTCATACTTTTTACAATTTTTAGCTAATTTTATAATTGTAAATGTAATTTGATTTTTTTTTTTTTACTTATTTTAGCATTCGGGCATGGTTAGCCCATTGTTGGGATTTATGTCATTAAATCTGTTGATATTAACTAGATTCTATTTTAGGCTTAAGAACTTTTATTTGTTAAATATTGTGAATATAAAACATAACATTCCAGTTTTTGTTTGTCTAGCACATTAATTTTTTCTAAACACTAACCCAACAATGTTTATTTTATGAAATGTAGACTTCCATGTCAGTCAAACTTTTATTTGCTGTATGTTTGTGGTTCTGCCCATTTTGGCTTGCACAATTTTACTTGTATTTGTATGCAGCTTTAAAAAATAAATGTCAAAACAATTTTAAGAGATTTGAGTTTTAAAAAAAAAAATTCACTTAGCTGTATCTAGCACAGATCGTCTCCCCTGTTTTTCAATGTGGGTTCTACTTCTACATGCATATGAAATGTTTTTCTGACATTCATTGTTATTAGAGTGGGTATCAGTGTGTTATGTGTGGTCGGTGGGAGGGTGGTTGGTGTCAGAGGGTGAATGGTGTGGGGAGGTGATTGGTGTGGGAGGGTGAATGGTGTGGGTTGGCGAATGGTGTGAGGGTGAATTGTGTTGGAGGATGAATGGTGTGGGAGGGTGAATGGTGTGGGAGAGTGAATGGTGTGGGAGGGTGAATGGTGTGGGAAGGTGAATGGTGTGGGAGGGTGAATGGTGTGGGAGGGTGAATGGTGTGGGAAGGTGAATGGTGTGGGAGGGTGAATGGTGTGGGAGGGTGAATGGTGTGTGAGGGTGAATGGTGTGTAAGAGTGAATGGTGTGGGAGGGTGAATGGTGTGTGAGGGTGAATGGTGTGTGAGGGTGAATGGTGTGGGAGGTTGAATGGTGTGGGAGGGTGAATGGTGTGGGGTGAATTGTGTGGGAAGGTGAATGGTGTGTGAGGGTGAATGGTGTGGGAGGGTGAATGGTGTGTGAGGGTGAATGGTGTGGGAGGGTGAATGGTGTGTGAGGGTGAATGGTGTCGGAGGGTGAATGGTGTGTGAGGGTGAATGGTGTGGGAGGGTGAATGGTGTGTGAGGGTGAATGGTGTGGGAGGGTGAATGGTGTGTGAGGGTGAATGGTGTGTGAGGATGAATGGTGTGTGAGGGTGAATGGTGTGGGAGGATGAATGGTGTGAAAGGTGAATGGTGTGGAAGAGTGAATTGTGTGGGAAGATGAATGGTGTGGGAGGGTGGAGGGTGAATAGTGTGGGAAGGTGAATGGTGTGGGAGGGTGAATGATGTGGGAGGGTGGAGGGTGAATAGTGTGGGAAGGTGAATGGTGTGAGGGTGAATGGGATGATGAATGGTGTGGGAGGGTTATATGGTGTGGGAAGGTGAATGGTGTGGGAGGGTGGAGGGTGAATGGTGTGGGAGGGTGAATGGTGTGGGAGGGTGAATGGTGTGGGAGGGTGAATGGTGTGGGAAGGTGAATGGTGTGGGAGGGTGAATGGTGTGGAAGGATGCATGATGCAGGGCGTAGGAGACTGAGTGTTGAAATCTGATGTGGGGTAACATCATGCTGTAATATGGGGGGGTGACTGGTACACTCCATTACAAGGGTGAGTGACCTGTACTTGTGAAAACAAACTTGCTCATATCGCCTACGAGCGTTGAACAATGCATCACTCCATCATCACATCCGTCTACTTGAGGTGTACAGTGTGGCTCAAGATACCACTCGAAGTATACCAGCTGACCCTTGACCTCACACAACCCCCGCTCATTTACTTGTGATAACCCCATTGTGTGTACTCACAATGTATTGGATTTGTTAGACAAGGGTTAGGGTGTTGTTGGTGTGAACTTTTAAAAACTTAACAGGTTGTCGTTACTGAGGCTAGGATGAGACTCGGGTAGACATTAGAGGTGGGTGGATTAGAGTCATGTAGCGAATATAGGTGGGTGGATTAGTCAGGTAGCCAATAGAGGTGGGTGGATTAGTCAGGTAGCCAATAGAGGTGGGTGGATTAGTCAGGTAGCCAATAGAGGTGGGTGGATTAGATTCAGGTAGCGAATAGAGGTGGGTGGATTAGTCAGGTAGCCAATAGAGGTGGGTGGATTAGTCAGGTAGCCAATAGAGGTGGGTGGATTAGATTCAGGTAGCGAATATAGGTGGGTGGATTAGAGTCAGGTAGCGAATATAGGTGGGTGGATTAGAGTCAGGTAGCGAATATAGGTGGGTCGATTAGATTCAGGTAGCGAATATAGGTGGGTGGATTAGAGTCAGGTAGCGAATATAGGTGGGTCGATTAGATTCAGGTAGCGAATATAGGTGGTTGGATTAGAGTCAGGTAGCGAATAGAGGTGGGTCGATTAGAGTCAGGTAGCGAATAGAGGTGGGTGGATTAGAGTCAGGTAGCAAATAAAGTGGGTGGATTAGAGTCAGGTAGCCAATAGAGGTGGGTGGATTAGAGTCAGGTAGCCAATAGAGGTGGGTGGATTAGAGTCAGGTAGCCAATAGAGGTGGGTGGATTAGAGTCCGGTAGCGAATAGAAGTGGGTGGATTAGAGTCAGGTAGCCAATAGAGGTGGGTGGATTAGAGTCAGGTAGCCAATAGAGGTGGGTGGATTAGAGTCAGGTAGCGAATAGAGGTGGGTGGATTAGAGTCAGGTAGCCAATAGAGGTGGGTGGATTAGAGTCAGGTAGCCAATAGAGGTGGGTGGATTAGAGTCAGGTAGCGAAAAGAGGTGGGTGGATTAGAGTAAGGTAGCCAATAGAGGTGGGTGGATTAGAGTCAGGTAGCGAATAGAGGTGGGTGGATTAGAGTAAGGTAGCCAATAGAGGTGGGTGGATTAGAGTCAGGTAGCGAATAGAGGTGGGTGGATTAGAGTCAGGTAGCGAATAGAGGTGGGTGGATTAGTCAGGTAACGAATAGAGGTGGGTGGATTAGAGTCAGGTAGCCAATAGAGGTGGGTGGATTAGAGTCAGGTAGCGAATAGAGGTGGGTGGATTAGAGTCAGGTAGCCAATAGAGGTGAATGGATTAGAGTAAGGTAGCGAATAAAGTGGGTGGATTAGAGTCAGGTAGCCAGTAGAGGTGGGTGGATTAGAGTCAGGTAGCCAATAGAGGTGGGTGGAATAGAGCTGGACGAACTCTCGAATATTCTATGGACATATGCACAAGTAGGACCTACTAACTTTCTTGATGTTGGGGTTAACTATTGTGTGCTTGACCGCTCGTTTACATCGTCCGTTTTAAAGTAATGTGGCGTAACGATAATTTTGTATTTGTTAAAGACAGTTAGTCTGAAAATATGTTTTCCATATATTCTAGCAAAGCTAATGGCTTTTTAAAGATACTGGAGCTTAATAATTGACTTTATGAACTGTATCGTCATTGTGTATTTCATAATATGCACAATGTAATGATTACTAAAAATAGAAGGATATAGCAAAATAGAATTAACTAATACAAATTCTGGCTTTGTTTGTCGTAAACGGATTGACGAACTTAATAAAAATAACTTAAATAAGTACTTATAATTTTTGGCGAGTCATGCGATCGAGATGTGCATACAAAAGTGGAAGAGGATCTCCTGTACGTCAGCACAACATCATGCGATGCTGAGACAAAGGTTCGCACTTTAACGTCATTGTGCAACGTTAGCGTCAGGCACTTGAGACAAAGTGTTTGAGGCTCACGTTGTATGAGAACGACTACTCATCAAGCGGAAGTTCAAGTTAATGTGGTGTTATATTTTTTAAACAATTTGCTTAGTAACGTAGTAACATGCATGATTTCTACCAGTGGCGTAGCGAGGTCGGGTGTCACCCGGTGCGGCACTTAATGGTGTCACCCCCCAGAGGCGTAGTGACCCCTTCCCGGGGACAAACTTTCAAATTTTCGATTTGCACCCCCCCCCCACCCTCAAACTTTCGATTTGCACCCCCTTCAAACTTTCGATTTTGCACCTCCCCCTCAAGTTTTTCTCTATATATTTTGCTATTTTTTTTTGCATTGGTGTCACCCCCCCCTAAATGGTGTCACCCGGTTCGGTCCGCACCCCTCGTCCCCCCTCGCTACGCCTCTGATTTCTACCACCCCCCCCCCCCCCCCCACTCCACAACGAAATTTTAAAAATCTAAAAGTGTAAAAATATAAAAAATAAAAATAGAGAGATAGGTTGCAAAATACAAAAACACATTAGATTATTTTTTTTCTGTTGTATTTTTAATTAGCTGTTGTGCTGTTTAATAAACTAAAGTTCTTCTGTCATAGAAGTAGAGTTTATTTGTTTCTTGACCACGGCATATGAAAGGATGGTGCACAGCCATCTTTACTTTCCCTAACTCAAGGCTGTCCTACAGACACTCGAATCGGAAATCCGAACTCGTGACTCAGGATAGCCCATTATTGCTAAACCACCCCGTCCAATGGGGCTGTTTAAGGAATATATTAATTACTATTTTAAAAATTCAGGTTCTATTACAAACAAATGAAATACAAACATGGTCCATTTTGCGTTTGTCTACACATTAAAGATACAACCTTAATCTTAATGGTTTTTATTTTATTTTTTAAAATAATTTTGTTTTTCTTTTTGCACGAGACGAAATTAATGTTCAAGTGTTTCTTTGTATAAGTGTTCTAAAGTAGTAATGAGTTGAGCCGATGTCGGGTCACAGAGTATCCTCATAACGTGGGAACGGAATACACGGATGTAGATAGTGATAAAATAAGAGGGCATCGCGCTAGACAATTACTCCTCAGCATTGTGGTCTAGTAAAGTTTGACGTTTTTTGTGTACAACAGTTAGTGACACCGTAATTTCATCTTTTGTAACCTAAAGGTAGGTCAATTTAAAAAAAAATACCTTAGACAATTGTACGATAGCAGTAATTTGACACACACATGCACGCGCGCATGCATACACGCTCGCACAATCATGCACACACACACATATGAGTTTTTGTTTTTTGAAGTTATTTCTAAAAATATATTAGACAACAGTGGTACAGCAATACCTCTAGATTCAAATATTGTTGTGTTTAGGGTTTGTTAATTCAAAACAATTCATTTTTAAAAATGTTTTGAGCTTGTCATGTATTTTCAAGGTTGTTCTGATACCTGTCTGTGAGTTAAGATGACCTCAATACGTCATAACATAAGCCTGGAAGTGTTGCTCATCTGTTGTATCTTGTGGCACAGCTATGTCAATGGTCAAAGTCAGAGTGAGTGGCGTTGTTTTTTTAACTATCCCGTTTAGTCCTAGTGACTTATGATTTTTTGCATGTATAACTGACTTTTAATGCCACAAGTGACACTAAATTGAATGTACATTAGAGAAAAAAAGTAATTCATTAAGTGTATGTGTCGATGTTGGTTTCGTGTATGAGAACTTGCCGCCTTATTTTTATTTGTAGTAGGCTGGAGGTGGAGGGGTAAGGAAGGTGCATCCAGAGGCGTAGCGACCCTTCCCGGCGCCCGGGGCGAACTTCCAATTTGGCGCCCCCCCCCTTTATATATATATATATATATATATATATATATATATATATATATATATATATATATATATATATATATATATATATATATATATATATGTGTGTGTATAATCGTGTATGTGTGTGTAAGCGTTTGTGTGTGTGTTAGTCTCTTTTACTGTATGGCTCGCAGCTAGATTACAGACAACGGAGAATGAAATAAGAGCATGGGAAAAGTGGTGGTTGGGGCACCATATAAGAAAGACAGTAAATAACATCACTAAGCAGGTGCTGATGTTTATTCCACGAGAAAGAGGAAGAGAAGGTGACAAAAAATGTCTGAAGAAATCGTTTGAACTAGAGAATGGGGAGGTTCGATTATTAGGGTTCTTTCTTTATAAAAATTAAGTGAGTTGACGAAGTGTTGCCTACGTCCTACGCCTATGCTCCTTAGCAAATCAAAACAAAAAAAAGAAAGAAAATCAAACGAACTTAGAGAAGTGGTTCTTAACTTGGGTTCGATCGATCGAACCCAAGTGTTCGGTATGTAAGTCTCAGAGCTTCGGCGGATGTCAAGACACACATCCGACTCATATGATTCACGATAAGATTTTGTCAATGTGAACGATAAAAGTATTAAGAACAGAGTTTCTTCCAGACACCTCTTCGGGGGGGGGGGGGGGGGGCCAAGCCCCCCCCGAATTTTTTTTACCGCTCCCCCCCCCCCCCGAACGAAATGAAATTTATATAATCTATATAGAAAATATATACTTTTAACAGTGTCCGCCCCCCCCCCCGAAGAAAGTCTACCACCCCCCCCCCCCCCGAAAATTTCAAGTGCCCCCCCGGAGAAAAAAGTCTGGAAGAAATACTGATTAAGAAGAATTCAGTGAAGGCGCATATGAAACTGGTAGGGTTCGGTACCTCCAAAAGGTTAAGAACCACAGCTTTAGAGTGTAGTTTGTATAAGATGCAAGCTTATTTGGTCTACGTTTGTATGTGTCTTTAGAACAATTTCAATAATAGTGTATTATAGTTTTAAATTATCAGTTAGGTTGAACAAAGTGACAAAGCATCACCTGTTGTCGTGTTGCTTACATCGTTTAGTAGGTCTAGTGGCCTTAACTATATGAAAATTGCAGTATTAGAACTTGTAATGAAACAAGCAATAAAAATGATCTACTCTGTACGATATACTTATGTTTTTAGCTCTTAAAATTTCGGCAAGAATATCGTCTTCTGCCCACCCGCTCCGAACGTATGCTATTTTACTGATCGTCGCGTCATTACTTAATAACACTGGCTAGTGAAATTGTACATGGCGCCTTAATACAATGGTTTCTTTTCTAAGTGTGAAAAGAGTTATCTACTTACCAATTCAGTACAAATACTTTGCGATTTTTGTTCGCGAAAAAAGAGCCCCCCCCCCCTGTTGCACATCTCCCAACCATATTGGACACAGTTTGTAGATCGGGTTTTAATGCAACCAACTTTCTAACTTTTTTAAAAATGTTACACAATCGTACAATGCACTTTAGCACAGTTAGTTTCTTAAAGAAGTGCTAAAGGTTGTTTACTCAAAATCCAGTGTAGTTTTGCAATTTTAGTAAGCCTAAAAGCGCCCCCCCCCCCCCCCTGCAACATCTTGATAAGTCACTAACGTATTTTGCGGTTAAACAATCGTACAATACATTTTAATACAATTGATTGTTTTGATAAGTGGTAACGCTGATTGATCCACCAATCTAGTGTAAATTCTTCCGATTTTAGTCTCGAAAAAAGCGCCCCCCCCCCCGCCAACACACAATCTAGGAAAAGCTGGAAAGCGGTTTTGCCGCTCACTGCTTCTTAAGATTATATGTTTTACAGTTAATAATCAAGGTAGAAAACAGTTAAATCAGTATGTAAAGGCTCTTAGCCATTACATTGCTTAACTTAAACTGTTTATAATTCAAAACTGCAGCATAAAACCAGCTTTAAAATTTTTTTCCACCCCTTTTGGCGCCCCCCTAGGGTCGGCGCCCGGGGCGGCCGCCCCCCCCCCCCTAGCTACGCATCTGGGTGCATCATGTATTTTCGCTTTCGTGAGTAACATGACAGGGATTTGTAAAAATTTAAAATAGTATTAATGTTCAAACTGACGTATTGCGCCATAGATTGTTGTATTAATCAGAATAAATCATTGTGAATTTCAATTGCCCTAAAATAAAATTCAATTTCAAACAATGTAACGAATATTGAATGAATATTATGTTAGGGTCACGAATACTGAAGAATCTATATATGTAATTCTTTCCATGGGTACCCACGTAAACGCACGCCGTTACTCCCCCGCTCTCTAGGCATATCGCTACCACCCCCACCCCCGCCTGTCTGGTGAGCTATGGTTCACAACGAATGTTTACAATCGGGTCGGATTAGTGATGACTATCAGGGGCAGATAATTTAGTATGTAAACGGTCTGAAACTATGGGGAGGTAACAATTAATGTTTGATATTTTCATTGACGTCGGTAAACTGTCGGCACGGAAAGTAAACATGCATCTTTTTCAAAGGCTGAGCTCTTTAAGTAGGCCTATAAATAAGAAGATGAGTAAATTAGTTTACGCTTTTCGAAATACGTTTGCGCCAAATTTATAAAATACGAGCCGACCCGCAGCGTATCATACGCCGCTATTTAGTTGTTTTATTTTCTACTTTTCAGTAATTCATAATTTGTGAATACGACAGTACCAATGCTGCCACTGAAAATACTTGCTTTAAAACACTAACCCCCCCCCCCTTTCCCCTAACCCAGACCCTACACCCCCCCCCCCCCCCCCCCCCCCCGTGAAAGCAGCCACCTCTTAGTTATTTCTTAGTTACCTCCTGTAATTTTAAAATCGAACTAAATTATCTGCCCCTAATAGAAACCCGACTCTACGGCTCTACGATTTGTAAACATTTAGAGTGAACACCGCTCACCAGATAATGTGGGGGTGGGGTGGGGGTGGTAGTGATAGTGATAGAGAGGAAGAGAGGGGACTGCAAGGAGGCGCTTGCAGCTTGTTTTCTAACTGATCACAGAAGAGAATTGTATATATAGATAGATATAAAGTTGCTTTGAGAAAAAAAAAGGAAAAAAAAACTGTTCTAACAGGCACGTGCCCCGAGGAGCCAACAGGTGTGGTGTTAAAGTCTGAGGTAGACCAGGCTGGGGTGGGGGTCCTGGCCTGCTCGCTGAACGAGTACCCCGCGGATGACGTGGACATCCGCTTCACCTGGCTGGTAGACAACAGCACCAGGGATGTGTGGGTCAGGCAGATCAAGGGGCCGGAGAAAACTGGATCTATTCGTGTCACGGACATCGATGTTGACCTCTACGAAAAAGAGGTAAACAAATATGTTTTAGTTCTTCAATGATACTTAGGAAAACATTTTTAAATGAATTCACCACTTGCTTATAAGTCCAGCGTGGTCGAATAGTAGAGCATTTGTCTGCTTACCCGAAAGTCTGGTGTTCGGGTGCATGGTTAGAGTTGTAGTAAGTGGCGTAGCAGGTGGAGCGGTCGCCCCGGGGCGCTGACCCTAAGCGGGCACCAAAAGTACTAGAAAATAATTAAAAATCTCTGTTTAATCTGAATTATACGCAATCAGAGTTAAGAAAGTAAACGACTACATAGCATAACTAAATAATGGTGTTGCACCACAAAAATAAAAACATTTACGAGATAGTCTAGTAAAATATCTCACCAACATTTTCTATTCCCGGGGGGGGGGGGGGGGCTCTTTTTTACCAACTTGAATAATTATATTTATAAATAGGCGGGGGCGGAAAACTGGTAGAATCGGTCGCTACGCCTCTCATTGTAGCACGTCATTACGTCCACTTAACTATGAAGGCTACTCGACTCATGTTATGGAAAGTTATGGCTGGGCAAAGTACTGACCGCCAGTGAACTGTACTTTACTTGCCCCAGGTTCAAAAGAAAACTTGACTAACTTATAACCCTGGCATTGTTAAATGGTATGAAAATAGACAATCGTTAATTTCTAACAAATAACACAGGGGTAATTCAATACTTTTTTTTTCAAACTGTATCTTTAAAACACGTCTATAAGAAACATGGCATAATCCTCCTTATGGCAACATATTTGTGTTCAATGAAATTTGGAACATCAGAACTTATCAAAGCCTTGCAATGTTTTAGTAGTTCAGTTCCGGTACCCATGCCGGTAATCATCTTAAAAGTATACGGCGTTTAGTTAAACTTGTTTTTTCAACAACGTAATTCATGCTTATCATTGACCTGTTGTTCTATGTTAACAATGCACTAGTTTTATCTTAAATAATTGTAATAATTGTTGACCAGATTACATGTTTTGCTGAGCTAAAGTACCCAGGAGAAGATTGGTGTTATAAACTTCAAAGTAATATCGTCACGCCAAAAGTAATGGTAAGTTACATGTTACTACATCTCAACAGACAATCTATGCGATATATATATATATGTATATATATATATATATATATATATATATATATATATATATATATATATATATATATATATATATATCGATATATATATATATATATATATATATATATATATATATATATATATATACAGTAATACTTGTATATCTGGCTTGTTTATGTGAACAGTGCCCTGCGTTATCTCCCATAACACTGACAGAGGGCATGGGCAGTGAGAGGCTGCAGTTATCACTCAGCTCCCCGCCCTCCATGTTCTGTAATGCCAAGAAACACCCAGAGTGTTCTGTCGAGGTGTTGTTGGAGCTGGTCCCACATCTACAAGACCTCAAGTAAGTTAGGTTACTGCACATGAAGTTACTTGGTTACTCCACCTCAAGTAAGTTGGTTACTCCACATCAAGTAAGTTGGTTACTCCAGATCAAGTAAGTTGGTTACACCACATCAAGTAAGTTGGTTACTCCACATCAAGTAAGTTGGTTACTCCAGATCAAGTAAGTTGGTTACTCCACATCAAGTAAGTTGGTTACTCCAGATCAAGTAAGTTGGTTACACCACATCATGTAAGTTGGTTACTCCACATCAAGTAAGTTGGTTACTCCAGATCAAGTAAGTTGGTTACACCACATCAAGTAAGTTGGTTACTCCAGATCAAGTAAGTTGGTTACTCCACATCAAGTAAATTACTTACTCCATCTCATATGAGTTGGATACTTCACTTCAGGTTAGGTGGTTACTCCTCTTTAAATTGGTTACTCTATCTCAAGTAAGTTGGTTACTCCACCTTAAGTTGGTTAATCCACTTCAAGTAAGTTTACTACTCAGGGATAGTAATTATTTTAGGTTTAATTAATTATTAAGTCTAAGGAATGCTGGTACGTGTAGACCATTATTATGGCGGAGAAAGATATTATGACGTATATATATATATATATATATATATATATATATATATATATATATATATATATATATATATACATATATATATATATATATATATATATATATATATATATGTGTGTGTGTGTGTGTGTGTGTGTGTGTGTGTATTTGTGTGTATTTGTGTGTATTTGTGTGTATTAATGTAGCATACATTCTATTGAGTAATTTGAATATTCAAATAAGACCATATTTCTTGAAAGTAACAAGTTGAAACAAGAGCAAATAACTCTCCCCTGTCAGGTGTACCAATAACGACATCATTCCCCAAGCAGTCCTACAAACCCCCAGCTGTGCAGTGGAGTTCACCAAGCGGAACTGGAAGACGGGCGTCTCCATCCCCATCAAGGCTGTCATGGACGGGGTCAAGGACGGCAACAGGAAGGTCCAGCTTCAGATCCTTGTAGCCATCAAAGGACAGGTAATTCGGTTCTTCTCTGAGAGGTTCGCGCTTGTATTATGATTGATATAGCATTACACTAACTAAAGAAAACATGTTTTCTCAAATACTGTACTCAATTTCCACAAAGACAATATTTTTTTTTAAAGTACAACCTCGATCCAGACGGTCCATGGGGGCAGGTGAAGTATAACTAAACTGTTGAGGTAACCTCTTATCAGATGATAGTGTGGTCTGCACTATGACAAGTAGCCTTTACTTTACCTAAAGTGATTCAGGTACCTATTAGAGCTGGGTGCACACAAGGGCGTCCTACAGATTCGAGCCCGAGATCCGAACTCGAAACTTCTGGGTTCACAGTGGTACGCTTCACCATCTGACCACCCCATCCCATTAACACAATACACATCATACATAATGACAAACATATATAATTTATAATAGTATATTGGCCTATATATAAATAAATAAATAAATAAATAAATAAATAAATAAATAAATAAATAAATAAATAAATAAATAAATAAATAAATAAATAAATAAATAAATAAATAAATAAATAAATAAATAAATAAATAAATAAATAAATAAATAAATAAATAAATAAATAAATAAATAAATAAATAAATAAATAAATATATATATATATATATATATATATATATATATATATATATATATATATATATATATATATATATATATATATATATATTATGTGTGTATGTATGTATGTATGTATATACAGCGTACAAAGATAGTCGATTGTGGGAGTGTTGAGGTCACTGTGATTGATGCGGACAGAACGTCGCTGTGTAGGTCTCACAATGATCCACATTTAGTGACCTTCGATCAGTTGTAAGTCTTTTTTATTGTGCTTCATTACTGGCATTACTTGTAAGTTGTTTTTATATGTAAGTTATAGTTTCAAATTTTAAACTTGTCGGCAAAAAATAATGCAAAAATTTAAAAACAAATATACAAAAAGTTTTAATTTTTTTTAACAATTTTCGGTTTCTGTGATAAACATATATTTTTAATACATTTTGAACATATATTTTTAATATCTTTTAACTACAGTACGTATGACAACCAGCTGGTTGGCGAGTTTGTTTTATACAAACATAAAACATTTCCTTTTGAGGTATGGAAGAATTGTATTCACACACATTGTAATATACCTACAATCATATTTAAAGCTTTATTACTCAGTTTACTGCTTGCCATAATTTTTACTATATTTTCAAAAAGTTTGACGTTAGAATTAGTATTATAAAAAGTTTTGCTTTAATTAAAGACATTTTTTATATTCACATTTTAAAGCGTGTCTTTCAATCTACCGCTTTGTTGTGTGACTACATTTAAAATGTGTTATTGATCTTACCATGTGTTGTGTGACTACATTTAAACCGTACCTTCGATCAAACATATTTTTATGTCACTTGGATAAAATGATGTTCCTGTGACTTTGATCTAACCGTCTCTTGTTTCACGTGCGTCAGGTGAGGGTCCAGCAACTCGTCTGCTCACCACCGTGGAACTCAGCCACCTGCAACTGTGCAGTTGCGGTCAAGGTGGGGGATGACGTCATCTCATTTTAGTAGGTCATTTTTTTTTTACTGTAAAATTTTTTTTTTTATTGTAATATAATTTTGTTAAAATTATTTTTATTTTGAAAAATAATCAAACGTTGCCTGTTAATATGGACGGATTTTTACGTTTTGCAAACAAATAATATATTTTATTTTTAAAAGTACGTTTAAGATCCTAATGATCAGTAGGGCAGGTGAAGTAGAATTGACCTGTTTCGTTGACCTCGGCATATGGAGGGACGGTGTGGTCAGCGTTTTACCCAGCTGTACTGTTAGTGCATATATTTGTAAGCTTTGATACCGGCTGCATGAATTAAGACGTATCTTGACAAGGAAAAAACAGCGTGTTATTTTTTAAGGCCAAACACTAGCACACAGGGGGTCGGCGTGGTCGAGTCGGTAAAGCTCATGGTTGCTAAACCGAAAAGTCTCGAGTTCGAACCCTCGGGCAGATGAGGCTCGTAAGCTGGGGACAGCCACTCTTCTAGGAGACACAACTCCAAAATCAAAAAACTGCTGCCTTGTAGTTTGTTCTTGGTTGGACAAAGGCTATGGAAGCAAATCCAAAAAGAAAAGCAGGCTGAAATCGGAGTCAATAGCCTCAATGGCGCATAACCAGTTGACACGTAACGCTTAATTGTGTTGAAGGCGTGGTCGAGTCGGCAAAAAGCTCATGGTTGATAAATTCGAACAAAGTCTCGAGTTCAAACCCACTGGCAGATAAATCTCGATCCCCTTCAACACTAATAATTAAGAACGAAGAAGAAGAAGAAGACTAGCACACACATATTTAAACTGCCAACTATTTAAACTCTGTCACAACACAGCGAATTACAAAAAAATGCAGTAATTACTTTAATTTAGAGTATAAGGCTAACGGTTTGTGTCACTATTATATAATGTAAAGGGTGTTATTTTGGGTGGATGATAGCCCGGAGCGTAGTTATATAAATACTTAATTCGATTCTATTCCCAAAATATCCTCTACTCTTGCCCAATTTGATGTTTAATTATACAAAGATAGGCAGAAAATGTATATAGGCTAATAGGTTTGGTAAGTAGGTCACCAACCAGTTCTACGGCTCAATAAAACCTGCATGAGCCATAGAACTAGTTGGTGACCTACTTACCAGCCCTATCATTACAAACCGTATTTCATAAGTAGTAGCAATAATAAGAGTCTTTCATTAACGTGATCTAAGCTTAGTGTAGTTTATGGTACTGTCAGAATGAAATGTTTCTGAGGTAGGGCTGTGTTTCTTTAACAATATAGGTAGTGATTGTCTTGTACATTTTTATTTAAAGTTATGTATAGTTTGGATGTAAACGTTTAACCATGTAATGAACTGAGTGTTCGAACCTAGACCAATGTAACAGTTTAACCATGTAATGAACAGAGTGTTCGACCCTAGACCAATGTAACAGTTTAACCATGTAATGAACTGAGTGTTCGACCCTAGACCAATGTAACAGTTAAACCATGTAATGAATTGAGTGTACATTTCTAGACCACTGTATCAGTTAAACCATGTAATGAATTGTGTTGACCCCCCCCCCCCCCCCCAGTGGATGTAATGGCCCCAGTGTGAATGTCCAGATGTACAAGAATGGAGATCTCACTCCAGGAACCAGCGTCAAAAGGTTGGGAGATGGGAAAAAATACGAGGTCAGTTAAGTACAATTAATTATTATCACGTCAATTAGTTAGAAGTAAAACTTGTGTAATAGTCATTAAACATAAATGAATAGCTTCCTAATTTTTTAAATTCTATCTAATTTTTGAAATCTCGTTTAGTTTGTGAATTTTTTTTTTCATTTTTACTTTCTCGTATATACGAAGTATAGAGAAAGTATTGTAATCGTGCAAAAAAAAAAATCGAGATTTTTACAAATCTCGACGTTTTACACCTCACTGATACGGAAAAAACATAATTTTGCAATCTTGTCCGTATGTCTGTGTGTGTGTGTGTGTGTGTGTGTCTGTCTGTCTGTCCGTGTGTAAACACGATAACTTGAGTACCGTTACTGCTAGGTTGATGAAATTTCATATATAAGTATTTTATCAAAATCGTAGATACGTATCAACTTTTGAGCGATTTCCGATAACCGGAAGTGGTACTTTTTCTACTTTCAATTTTTCAAAAGCCTATAACTTGAGTACTATTTCAGATAGATAAATGAAATTTCACATGTAAGTAAAAGATCTAATTCTCTACCTTTTGTTAAATTTTGAGTAATTTCCGTTGACTGGAAGTAGTAATTTACGCTACTTCCGATTTCTCAAAAAACTAATGTAAATTTTAAAAGTACAAATAATATTGCGCACTATTATGCGCTTTTTTATTTCGCGTTCACTTGGTGTGCAATTAATTTGTCTACGAGATTTTATTCTATTTTTAAAACTTTAAGTATTTAAAATGGATTAAAAATCATGTCTATAGCCCGAGTTCCCATCCCCTGTTATTTTATATAAGAATATTCGAGAAAGTTTAGGGGAGATCACTCCCGGTTTATTTTTCTTAGGTTATTTTTTTCCATAAGGTATTGCCCCTTTGATACGAATCATTTTTGCAGTAGTACAATTCAGTTATACTAATATGTGTAGACAGTGCATTGAAATAGTTAAATATGTAGTGTACTTTTTACAGTTTGACATAATGTTTTCTTTAGGTGTACATTCCTACCAGAACTAAAGTGACCATAGAGAATGCTGTCACGTTGTTGAATGTTTACGTGGATGGGTCAATGGCCGACTCTTCTAACACAGAAGGTAAATAAGAGGAGGGGCATCTGTGTTAAGTACAACGTCCTTCGACTGGAACTGCTCTGTTACATTTTTAATTTTGAAATAGAATTTCAATAAACGCACACAAAGACATGCATGTTGACGTTACCACGCATAAACACACGCGCACAGACACCAGTGTAGAAAAACACAGACACATGCACATAGACTACGGTATATAGATGGACCACTAACCCGTATTAATTTCATAATGCATCACAAAATACTATTTATTTTTTGTGTTAAGCGCGATGCATTCAATATGGTTAAAAGTGTTCGAATCCGGGTTCAAATCAGTAGACCGTCCTTGAGTCCACTCAGCTCTGATGGATACCTAACTCAGGTTAGGGAAAGTAAAGGCCGCTGGGCATAGTGCTAACCGCATTATCCCTTCACATGCCGAGGTCACAGAAACAAGTGAACTCTACTTCACTTGCCCCGTATACCGTCAGGTTTGAAAGGGAACTTTACTTTTACATACACCATGGAACATATAGACACACAAGCATAGACACGCTCACAAATACATATAATTTAGTTTGCTTCCCAAAAAACCATTGAATTGATGTCACGATAACTCTAGGCATGTGCGGGAACTTCAATGGCAACAAGGCTGACGAGCTGGGCGGGGAACGAATCCAGGAGTTCAACATACGCTGGAGGTGAGTACTACATTGTGCTCAAACTCAAGTCATAACGCACAGACTGTCTGATGTATACAGCTATCGTGCTGGTTCAAAGATCACATCTTATCTTCGCATATACGGTCATTACCAGCGCAAGTAATGCTCTTTACCCTGGCAGACTGGTACAAGGCTAAGTAAAGAGCATTCCACCCCCCCCCCCCCACTTCCCGTAGTACCAACCGCTTGACATGTAGGTTTCCGCCAGGTTTTAGATTCCCCACCCAGTGCATCGCACCACATGGACGTGAGATACAGTTCTGTCAGGGTTTCAAACTCGTGCCTTTAGGGCTAGTAGGCGAACGTTCTATCGCTAAACCACGCAGTTATGAGATGACTAAAAAATCGGCAAACTTTTTAATACTTTTATTTCTGATGTGGTCAGGATTAAACTATACCCCAGTAAAATATTTAAAACTGATAAACTGAGATTTCCTGAGCGTGCCTCAAATATCCCTATTTCAAAATCTAAAGGTCATCAATAATCAATACAAAAATCAGATAAACCTCTAGACTAGTAAACACAATATGTGTTCTTCTGTTCTTTATTGTTGAATAAACATACGCATTTTATACTATTGAATATACCGGTAACGATTGTAAACTTTTGATAAAGAAGGTGTAATCTATCACAAAATTATTTTTACCAAAACTAATAATTTCCCACCTATATTGGCGAAAACATGACAACAAATTGTAATTTATGTTGTCTAGACGAACAGACAGCATATTTCAAGGTGTGCGTGCTAACAACTCGGCCACCCTGCCGACCTACTGCAGCTGTGTGAGGCTGAGACCTGCCGTCTGCCGCGCTGGGCTAGACGTCTTCCGGTGTGACGACATTGATTGTACGCTTCAACATTTGAATAGCTTTTTTTGTTAGAAAAATTATCATGATCGTTTCATTAATGAAGGTTTAATAGAATAGTAAAATGTTATGTTACGTATCTATAAATCTGAAGCTCAAAGTTAAATTCCCCATTTGAACTTGAAACAAAGCAGAACTCAGATGAAAGCTTTATGCGCAACCTAATTTACTTGCACTAACTTGAGTCAGGTACATATTATAGCCGTGTGGACCCAAGGATGTCCTAGAGACGCAATCTCAGACTGAGATCCGAACTCGATATTTTCGGGTTTGTAGTTAAGCGCTCTACAACCCGACAATGGCGTCCAACACACTCGTGTATTTTTTAACATCAATAGATTACTATTTATTTTGTAAAGAACTTCAACGTGTAAGTAAAACTAAGCTCAATATAACATGTAACTTGTGCTTTAACTCATCACCCAGACTCGGACATAACAGATCTTCTGGTCAAACACTCCAAACCCCCAGTCCTCACGAACATGGGAGGGAGGAGACGTCGACAGGCCACTGATAACCAAGTAAGTACTTCCTGCATTCTCCTTGTTGCTGCTATTTGCTTGAGCTACTTAAGTACGGTGCGGGGTGGTCCAGAGATACACAGTTGGCTAATCCGTAAGTCTCGAGTTCGGTTGCCAGTCCATACACTAATCAACTGTAATCGTTACCTGATCAAAGTTTTGGTGATAAAGGCAATCGGATATAGAACTGACCACAGTGCAGAGGCGTAGCGATGGGGGTGGCATAGGGGACATATATCCCCGGGCGCCGACCTTAGGGGGCGCTAAAATGGGTTAGAAAAAGTAATCGAAAGTTTGAGGAGGGGGGATGCAAATCGAAAGTTTGTCCCCGGGCGCCGGAAATGGTCGCTACGCCTCTGCCACAGTGTCCCTTTTTACGCCAAGGTTACAGAAATAGTATGTCAACTATACGTCCTATTTCTATATTGTCCGTTTCGATTCAAAATGACACCTAGTATTTGCTTACTACTTTGCAAACATACAGATGTGTCAATGTAAAAAATGTATACATCTTAGAATTATAATTTTGTGAAGCAGGATGTCAAAGTACCATGTATCTCATTGCAATAAATAGCACAGTACTAACAGCTGAGGCATGAATGATTTGAGACAGACACGTAACCAGTGTTACTATTGAAATTAGTAAAAGATAAAATTGTATAGGTACAGTGAGCAGTTAAAGATGAATGAAAAAATATGTTGTTTGACGGTAAAAAAAAATGTCAAGTAAAAATTGCTCACAAAAAAAATCAGACACGACTGGACGCCAAAAAATAATCATGCCCTAATACATACATTAATTGATACCTTTTTGTTTTTACTCGACTAGAGCTCTACTTCAAAGTCTCCCAAGTATACGAAGGCTGAGGCTACACAAATCTGTAAAGATAAGATAGAAAAAAGTAAAACTGTGGGGGTTTGTGGGAAATACCTTTCCAACACAACTGTGCCTCAGAGTATAGATGACTGTATTTTCGACCTGGAGGTGAGTCATAGTTGCTTCAAGTTGGGTACATTTGATGTTGGGTTAAACCATGGTTGCTTCAGGTTACGTACATTTCATGTTGGGTTAAGTTATAGTTTTTCATGTTACGTCCATTCGATGTTGAGTTAAATGGTAGTAGCTTCCTGTTACGTACATTTGATGTTAGGTTAAGTCATGGTTGCTTCAAGTTACGGACATTCCATGTTGGGTTAATTCATGTTGCTTCAAGTTACGTACATTCCATGTTGGGTTAATTCATGTTGCTTCAAGTTACGTACATTCCATGTTGGGTTGCCATTGTTGCTTCATGTTACGGAATATAATGTTGAGGTCATGGTAGTTCCACATTTCGTATATCTAAGCTTTCTGTACCACAAGTAAATATTTCCAGAAGATTGGCGCTGGATTTTGAGATGAGGATTAGGCTACATTTTTAATGCAACATTTTGGGTTATTGCTGGGTGTATGTCTACATGTAGGGCTAATATATATAGTGATGTCAAGTGATATGACACCAAGAGAGAGGCAGTAGACCATGACAGGTACCATAGTCAACTAGAGATGCTACTCCATTCTTTCGACAATACACGTTAATTATAATCTGACCGTAGTGCATTCTTTGTATATGTAACCAATACATTGACATCAGATGCATGAATGTGATACAAATGCCAATCTTTGATTGAGTGCTTTAATTGTGCCGAGACAGGCAACAGGGGAGAGTCAGTGGGCAGAAGCGCATGTCTCAACTCTGGCGGAAACGTGCATGTCTGAGGCCAGGAAGGATCCAGCTGTCTGGACAGGTAATGGCACCACACCTGGGCAGCCTGAGTTTCCACGGGACATTGCTGTAGGGCTATGTGTGAAAGACTGCGGCGTCAATGGCGACTGTGTCAATGGTGAGTTTATAGACTTGACATTAGCAATGTGAACTATGTAAATTTTGAGTTTCTTGTATAGACATCACATTACCAATGGGAATTGTGTCAATGGTGAGTTTATAGACTTAGTAAACTATGTCAATTGTGAGTTTCTGCTATAGACTTGACATTAGCAATGGCAACTGTGTTAACGGTGACATTAACAGTTTGGATTATGAATGATGAGTTTGTGATATAGACTTGGCTGTTACAATACCCTTTCCTTAGTGTCTTTTACATGTTATATCACAATTACCTTACGGTTGTCTTACGTGTAACAAAACATTTTCATTCATGACTGTTATATCTACTCCTACTAAACTTCTCTACCAGATTTTCTTTCAATCATCTCTTCGAAATAGAAATGTATATAGAACGGAATAGAATTTATATAGAAAATATATACTTTTACCAATGCCCCCCCCCCCCCCCCCCCTAAGAAAAGTCCAAGTGCCCCCATACCCATACCCTGAGAAAAAAGTCTGGTAGAAACCCTGTTCACTACCGTTATTCATCGCTCGCTATAATGAGCTAATCTCTCGTTATATTTGAACATTCAGTCCTTTCATCATATGCAGCTTCGATTAAAAGAACACCTTATCAATACTGATTAAATATTCTGATTATTAGTTTCAACACAGAGTTTTCTATGCTTAATGTATCAACTAGTAAACAGTCTCAAGTAGTTCCACTCTCTAATTGTTGCCTCGTTCGACGCTGGGGAATCTTGAAGACTTTGCCACTGTTCCTTTGTTATATCCCTTCTATACACTTTTACTTCGCTGTATACATTGTCTGTATGAGTAGTCCGTCTGTATTTCCAAACTATGTCAAATGTATATAACGGGACACTTTACAGATACATAATTTATTTACCAAAATCTCAACGAAAAATGTAGGCCCTACTTGCAGTTATTTAACTTGTCAACAAGAGAATTTTTTTTTTAGTATTGCTGTAAATTGAATAGAAAATGTAATAAAAATAGTGTCACTACGATTATGTGTGTTGCTTAACAATTCCCCCATACATTCCAGCAATCTGCCAGTGTAAAAACGGGTACGCTGGAGAGACGTGCCAGATTTCACCAGACGCTCGGCCTGTGGTCAGCCCGGGGGTGGAGGTCTGTGACGTGGCGACCACCTCCTGTGGGACGTTCGTGGTGGGTGGGTTCAACTTCACTAGGAGCAGGAATTTGACGTGCGTCTACACATTTGTCTCGGTGAGTATGGTTGTACCGCTAGCGTCTGATTTCATACACATTTGTAACATCAGCATATATTTTCATTCACATTTGTCTCGGTGAGTATGGTTGTATTACTTGCATCTGATTTCATACACATTTGTAACATCAGCATATAGTTTCATTCACTTTTGTCTCGGTGAGTTTGGTTGTATTACTTGCATCTGATTGTATTCACATTTGTAACATCAGCATCTGATTTCATTCACATTTGTAACATCAGCATCTAGTTTCAAACACTTTTGTCTCGGTGAATTTGGTTGTACCACTAGGCTACTAGCATCTGATTTCATACACATTTGTACCACCACCATCTGATTTCATACACATTTGTACCACCACCATCTGATTTCATACACATTTGTCTCGGTGAGTTTGGTTGTACCGCTAGCGTCTGACTTCATACACTTTTCTAACATCAGCATATAGTTTCATACACATTTATACCACTAGCATCTGATTTCATATACATATGTAACACCACCACCATCTGAATTTAAACACATATGTAACACGAACATCTGATTTCATACACATGTGTGTTATCAACATCTAATTTAAAACATATTTTTAACACGAACATTTCTCTTGATGAGTTTGGCCGTATGGCCATTACCTAAGTAGATTTCGTTGCGGATTTAAAAATTATATTCAATTCATCTTGTTTAGATTTTAATTTTATTTTAAATTAATAAAAAATTTAAAAAATTAAATTACCTGACCACAGTCTAACCAGACGGCGCTGCCAGGCGTGTCACGTGGTACAGCCGCAGCCGAGTACATCAACCTGTACCAACAGGGCTGTTCCATGACGCAGCAACAGCCCCGCAGTGCCCTGGTGTCTATAGCAGCCGGTGACGTGACCAGCCAGCACAGCTACATGTACGTGGTCTACAACTCCAGCTGCCAGACCTGCTCACTCTCAGGTCAAGGTCAGAACAACGTCACGTGTCAATGGAAGGTAAGGGCTTAAATATGTTAAACAGGAAGTGAACTAACAACATTGATGTATGAATGGAAAGTGGTTTTTGAAGGTCTAAAATATACGTTTAGTACTATTAGTTGAACGTATGCATGGATGCACGTATTTGTGTGTGTGTGTGTCTTTATGTTTGGAAAGGGGGGGGGGGGTAATGTTGAAATACTAAAGGATTAATGTGTATGGATTTCAAGTATTGATGAATGAATGTAAGGTGGTGTATTTAAATCAAATACCGGTTTTTAACATACGTATTTATTGTTAATATGGGACGGCTTGGTCATTCGGTAGAGCGCTGGACTGCTAACCCGAAAGTCTCGAGTTCGAATCCCAGTTCAAGTGAGTGGTACCTCACTGAATCCACCCAATTCTGATGGGTACCTATGTCACTTTAGGCAAAGAAAAGGCGGATTGGCATAATGCTTACGTCAATTAACATATAAACTCTACTTCATCTGCCCAGTGGATTGCTATGTCTAAAGAGGAATCTTTACATTTTACTCTTATTTATTTGTTCCTGAAATAAAAATATGACAATACATCACTTATAGCTTATTAAAGCGGTGGTTTTTCATTTTAAAACCAAATTTGTAATTATGTTTCTTTTTTTTTTACTTCCCCAGTCGAACCACTGTGTGATAAACGATCAGTGTTACTCCGATCTTCAAGTCGACCCGGAGAACTCCTGTCAAGTTTGTAACGTAACTATCAGCACATCTCGCTGGACTTGGCTCGAAGGTACCGCCCACAATGTTACATTTTAGCACAGAACTCTTGCTCAGTGGGTGCAACACAGTGTCAAAGTCCATTAGTGATTTTATAAGACTTTGTTATCCGTGGAGGGAGGAGGGGGGGGTGAAAATAGTGCCTCTCGAAAAGATACCTAAGTACCAGAAAGAAACTCTGGATTCAATTGCTACAAATATTTTATTCCTCCAGTTCCAGAATGCCCAGAGCCGAAAGAAGTACCAACTACCATCATCATCGCCGTCTGTGTTGTGCTGGGTGTTCTCCTTATTGCTGCCGTTATCGTGGCGATCGTCTGTTTTAAAAGGAAAAATAAATCGTAAGTTTAATGTGTTACAGTAATTAACCAAAATACTAGCACAATTTTACAAAACCCGTAATATTGAATGTGTTACAATAGTTAACCAAAATACTAGCATAATTTTACAAAACCCGTAATATTGAATGTGTTACAGATATTAACCAAAATACTAGCATAATTTTACAAAACCGTAATATTGAATGTGTTACAGTAATTAACCAAAATACTAGCATAATTTTACAAAACCCGTAATATTGACTATTTCACTTGTTTATTTTTGTCGTATAAAGATTTACCGGATACACCTACGCCTTTAACAAGAATCTTACACAAAACTTAGATTTTTTTAATACATATCTATACTTGACTACCTTCCAACCATTATCAAATACATCTTAGATCTATTACACCTGGATGATATAATTTACCTAAGTCAAATGTGGGGTCAAATCTTCAAAACATAAATACTTTGACTTACTGCAATAACTACAAATGTAAACGTTTGTGTCATGGGCAACAAACTACGTTTCTATTATTTAATTCACTATTCGCTTTTCTGGGGTATAACAAACCTTCCATTCAGTTATGAAAATATCACAAAAAAATGCTATAATCCACATAATTTTTTTTCAGGAAAAACCTATTGTAACTCAAGGACTAAATTTTTATTTAAACAAACATGAACGCTGAAGTGTCAATCTTGGAATGAATGTCTAAAGGAAACATGCTCAAAATACTTTTCATTAGTCGCCTTATATTGTTTACAGTAATCATAAAAATATATTGTTCGCTCTGTTGTTAAAATATTAGCAACCCTATTTTTCTATAGCTTCTAATTTATTTTTCATGGTTTTAATAACACAAATATAACTTATGTTTGTTTTATCCAGTCAATTGAGTTTCTTTCAGGCATCTCTTTGGGGGGGGGGGGGGGGGGGGGGAAATCAGTCGGCTAACCCTCTCCTCAACTGAAGGTTTCAAGTGCTCCCCCATCCCCAGAGAAAAATGTCTGAAAGAAACACTGGTTTAGACATCTTTCAATTTGTATCTATAGATAAGAAGTGTTTGTACATAAACTTTTCTCTAGCTTTTGAAAACTTTTCCGCATTTATAGTAAACCCATGTAGTTTTTATGTAAACCGGTTTTTATTTTATTTTGATGAAGTGCGTGTACTGATTAAAATTTTAAATTGTATACCTTTTCGCTGTGTTTTATCGATGTAAATATAATATTAATTTTGTTTTAAAATTTCATACGTTAAAATGAAAGTTTAATAATTAAAAAAAAACAGTGTTTGTAGTTTTTTCATTGATTTCGTCTGGAAACAAAGAGTTTGTAAGATTTTTTTTTTTTTTTTGAGTTGGATGAACTCAAATGAGCTCGACACCTTGATACCGTTTTAAAAACTATATGTTTTAAGAAACAAATACAAATACTTTTGACATCTGATTTCTTCCCCCCCCCCCCCCCCACCCAATAGCAGGAATATAAATACTTTTATATTGGTGTATATTTATTTTGTAAAATTGTAATATCATAAAACTATTTTTTAAAAGTTAAAACAAGACTTAAAGGGATGTAATATGTTATATTTCTTGGAAATTAATTTGCCAGTTACGTCCCTTTGTCTGCTAAATTTACTGAATTACGAATACAGATAAAATTTGGTTTTTTAATACTTCATGGGGGAGAGCACTATAATTTTTTTAAACTTAAAATATTCTGCAGTTATCTTTCTTGGTGTACAACATGATTTTAAAAACAATATATTTCACACTTCTATTTATTATGAAGAAATTTAGAAGGTAATATAGCCTACAAATTGTAAAAAAAAAAAAAAAAAAAAAAAGTTCTTACAAATAGGCTCTTCTATATACACTAAAAGTATGAAAATACGAAAATAAATAAAATAAGAATTGAAACTGCTAGTTTGTAATCTACTTATCACCACTTTTGCTATTGAATATAGGTATCTTTGAATTCATTTTTAAAGACTTATTGTATAGCTAATTAAATGTAGTTTTTAAAAAAAAACGAATTGTCATTGAATTAGCGTAAATAAAGTGAGTTTGCCCAAATCAGTTTCAAGAAGAACATTTACGACAAGGCATAATGTTTACTTTTGTCCGTTTCAATGTTACAGCAAGCGCTGTGTAACAGAGATGAAATAAAAAATATTTATGCATCAATTTAGAGTTCATTTAACGTTATAAGGTCAATTAATGAATTACTCAGAGAAATATCTTTTTAAATCTTTAAGGTGTGGTATAGGTGTTAAAATAATACTTGCTGTTACTAATTCTATTTCCGGTTTTCTAGAAATCCTTTTGTCTTGTGGGCCTTTTATCAACAAGACAAAAGGCCGATAGGAAAAAAGGCCGACATCTAAAATGCCGACTTCAAAGGCCCACTTGACATATTATTATGATGTTAGATGGGTTTTCGACTGGCTAGTTTCTGGCTAGTTTCCCCAATATTTCTGACATAGCCCCTCGCACCCCTCACCCCGGCACCCACACCCTTCGTCCCTACCCCGCATCTTCACTAATTTAAAAGCGGTGATATATCCCCTTTTTCTCTGTACTATGTCAGCATACATTTTAAGAAAAAGGTAAAACCAAATCTTTAAGTTCATGAGTGACATCATTTTCTACGTCAAAAATGTACTTAAAACAATTTAATCATTAAAAAAGGAAAGTACCATTAAAGCTAGTGAAGTTCATGATCCATCAAAATTATAAGTACTAGAGAGAGCTGTACTTACAGCTGCTCAAAACTCATTACAAGAAAACAAATAACATGTGATGTAAGGCAGAAGTTATGGCCCCTGCCTGGGGTACAATGACTTGATTTGTGGGAACTATTTTCTACAGACAGTCTAATAAGTGTAAACAGTCGTTGGTTAATGGCCGACAATTACCTTGTATATGATCGATTGCGACAGGTTGGACTTTGTAAAGAACTATCATAACAATGTCAACTGGTTATATGTCATAAAGATAGGAAAACTTTCAGTTAATATATATATATATATATATATATATATATATATATATATATATATATATATATATATATATATATATATATATATATATATATATATATATATATATATATATATATATATATATATATATATATATATATATATATATATATATATATTGTGTAAATAATTAAATAATTATATATATATATATATATATATATATATATATATATGTAACTGGGGTAGGCCTAACTACCAGTTACAAATGATAACGAACGAGAAGCCGAGACACGGTGTTGGTCTGATGCAACCGATAACAGGTGGCTTATTGGGTCGGGCTGATAACAACCTCAAAGCCAATGCGTGCTATTTTGGGAAACGGTATTCAGACGGCCTGTCAACTTTGATGGATAGGACGCAGATGTTATTTTACGGTCTGTACGTTTGAACTACGCAACTGGTGGTCGGAGATCGAGTACAAGTATCGATTACGGAGGAATACAAGTACGGAGACGAGTACGGATACAAGGCATAAATAGGAGGGCACGGCAGGACTCGTTCTCTCTCTTCCGTCGTCGTCGCTTGCTTTAGATCAGTCAGTCTGGGTGACATACCCAAGTTGGTTATATTGTGTTAAGAAGGACAATAGACATGTGGATTCAGTTATATGAAGCCTAGTGAGGACTGTTAGGGGGTCAGTTGATTCAGACTATTATTGTGAAACATCTCTGTTGATTCATTGTGTTATATTGAAACATTTCTTGATTCATGTAATAAAAGGATCAATAGCGAACCTGCATCTTCGAGTCTTTCTACTGTAGTCGATGTTGTGTAGCATGAGTGGTTCAACTCGTTACAATTGGCGTTGTCGGGCAGGATAGACTCGGGAAAGGTCACATTGGGCGTTGCGAACAGGATAGATGCAACTAGCCTAGGTCACATTTGGCGCTGCGAGCAGGATGAATTAAACTAGACTTGCCGATTTAGGCACCCATAGTCAACCTTGTGCATAACTGTGTTTTGTGTGTATGTGAATTCGGACATTCAGGAACTGTGAAAATCGAGGAAAATTTTTTCATATACACACGGTAAGAAAGAACTCTTTTGTTTTACTTACGGAATAAAATGTCTACTCTGGACGAGAAGCAGACCCATATAGTGGTCCTACCCAGAGAGTCCCACATTAACAAATTTTACGGGGACGGGGATCCCACTTTAACCAACAGGTTCAGTGAAGAGGTCAAAGCGGCCTGGGCCTCGAGAGGCATGTCACCAGAAGAAAGATTAAGACTGCTGATGGGCAGCATAGGAGAGACGGTTAGGGCAGAGGTCAAATGCCACGATAAAACCATCCAATCAGATCCGGATAAGGTGCTGGATCTGATTATGGAGACCTTTGGGGAGAGACGGTCGGGATCGCAACTGCTAGCAGGGTTCGTAGGCTTGAGGCAGAGATTGGCGGAGAGTGTGATGGAGTACTCACACCGGATGAACAGTGCCTTTGATTCGGTAAAGGTCAAAACACCGGACATTGATGTACGCCTACTGAGGGACCATTTCATTGAGGGGCTGGCAACCCCGATCCTAAGAAGAGAGTTGAAAGAGGAGGTCCACAAAGAACCGCAGTTGACCTTCCTCCAGGTCAGGAACTCAGCGATCCGCAGGTCCGAGGATGAGGACCAATCGAACTGTTCGGTGGACAAAGTTTCTGTACCTGAACAGAGACAATCCCCACCCACAGGGGCCGACACGATGGAGACCATGATGGCTCAACTGTTGGCCCACATAGATAAGGTTGACCAACGTTTGGAGAGGTTAGAAAGCAGGTCAACAGCTGAGAATCGGGAAAAGAACGGGACAAAACAGGGACGGGTTGGACGGCCGCGTCCGGCCAAGCCATCACTCCAATGGACGGCCGACGGTCGGCCAATTTGTTTGTCTTGTTCACAACCCGGACATATGGCACGGTACTGCCAGGGAAACGGTCGTCCTCTGTAAGGCAGGGCCAGGCTACAGAGGGGCGAGGGTATGGCCCAAGAAGCAAAATGATGGGAGTCTGTCCTGAAATGGTGATTACGATTGGGGACATCGCGGTGAAGGCAATTGTGGATACAGGCTCCCAGGTGACGACGATCACGGAAAATTTTTACACCAAATGGATGAAAGGAAAAGACCATAGGTTGAGGTCTGACACATGCATGCGCCTGACGGCAGCTAATGGACTAACCATTCCATACTGTGGTTATTTTCTGGCGGATGTCGTGGTGGCAGGACATAGGTTGAAGCAGGTTGGGGTGTTCGTTACGAAACACAACCTAGAGACAAATGTGTCAAATATACCTTGCCTGTTGGGCATGAATATTCTTGGCCAGTTGCCAGAATTTCTTACAAATATTGTCGGATCGACCACACCAGGTCGGGGATCCAAGTTGGCCAGGTTTGCCAAGACCAGAGGAAGGATATCAGTCCCGGCAAACACGGTCAAGGCAATCACATTAAAAATTGGTGATAGAAGTGTGAATGGTGATGTGATGATAGAACCATGTGGCGCCGCACTGAGGGCAGGCGTCGTGTTACTGCGGACATACACATCAGCGGAAAACGGACTAGTTCAAGGGTTGGTAGCAAATGTTTTGGATGAAGAAATTTTTATACCGCCTAACACTCTGGTAGGAGTACCACAGAACGTCGAGGTACAACGGTCGGCACAGTGCATCGAACTGATCAATACCAGTAGTAATGAAGTAACAATTAGGTCGGTCAATGTGACGGCCGAGGTGAAGAAAGAAGATGGCCGATCATATACATTCCCGGAAACTGAGGACCCAAAACTAAATGAATTGCTGAAGAAATACAGTGATATATTTGCCTCGTATGAGGGTGATTTGGGGTACACGGAAGTAATAAAACACCAGATACCCTTACTACAAGAC